CAGGTAAGTCCATGTTTGAGAGCCTTGTGGTGAAAGCCAAAGAGGCTGAAGAAGATGCTGAGAAGGCAGGGATAAATATGCACATGTGTAGTGGCACATCACTGCGGAAAAATCCATTGTCTCAAAATCGTGCAACCATTTTACATGTCAGTCTCATTGTTGGTGGATGAAAGTTGTGGGGAACAGTGTTGCTCCCAAACATGTTCATGGGAGCTTTTGCGAGAAGAGACTGCCCCACAAAGTGGGCAATGCACCCTTTCTTTCTCCTGGGCGCACGCACTGGCCGCGCGCCTTTGTGCGCACGCGTGTGAGTGTCACGGGCGAGGTGGCAAAGAAGAACAGAAAGAAGTTCGTAGAGCTGCTGCAGAAGACGAGGGAGGCTGTTGGGAGAAGAACCAATTTCATTAGTTACTGGAGGACCGTCACCATAAACATTCAAACCGCTCCTAGTCTGAGGGTGCTTCTAGTGATTCTAGTGCGAGCCTACCTTGACGTTGCCTATGGTGAACTTTTTGTTTGTTCTCAGGTTGTTTCAAGTGGCTATCCCTACCGCCCTGCCAAGAATATACTCTTGGATTCTGATGAAATTCCTAAGGTTTCAACACAGAACACATCCATCGCTTGAGTTCTTGCCGGCCCCACACAGAGGTCACTACCTAAGCCTGTCGCCATACCACATCCTCCCATCTCCCAGCCCCACCACCCCAGGAACACCTTCCTCTCAACAACCAATCTGCTTCCCACCCAGACGCTCGAAACAGGCCGTTTGGCCTTGCTTCGGGTCCTCGTCCCGGGGTCTCGCGCCGCCCTCGCGCCACCTTCGCGGATCCGGATCGGAGAGGTCACGGCGAAGACCAGCTACGAGAAAGCCTCGAAGCTCCTGGGCACCAGCGCTGCCTGGGAGGCCATGGACGACGCCACCCGTCGTCAGTGCTACGAGATCTTCGTGGACCAGCCGCCAGACACCGAGGAGGGAACGGAACGGGTCCGGCTTGAGGTGCTCTGGGGAGGGGTTGAGGGTGGCTGGAGGGTGGAAACTCAGCTATAGGCGGTTCTATCGAACAGGTCGAGTGAAAGAATGAGGGGCGCAGGGCCTGCGCAGGGGTGTGAATCTTCAGGTTGTCGCTTCCACCAGCCTGTGTCCTGTAAAGTTAAAGTCTGTACTGTAGTGATGACATTTCGGATTTATTTTGGCAACTTCTTAGAGCACCCACCTTGCCACCTTCCTTTCCACTTGTACCGCCGGTGGTTTTGAAAAAGTTGTTTTACAATGTTTTACAATTGTTTTATGTTTTCTTAATGATCCTGAATCCTAGCCTCCAAGCTCTTTCAGTTGCACGTTTGCACAGGAAGCATGTTTGATGTAGCCTCAGGGCTGATACCCAGCATGAGCTACATGCCCCAGAGCCCCTCTCATATCCTACTATTTTCAATTGTGTGCTCCTACAGTCAAGGTTGTTGTTCTGGGTTTTGATGCAACACATTTGCGATAGTATATGCGATCATGCATCATGGGAGCCTTCCTCTTCCATGTTTACTTCCAATTGCCATACCCAAGATACCCGATTCAAAAGAGAAGATTCCAGATTGAGATAGGTCCAATATGGTCCAATAGTGAAGTTCCTCAACCAGCTGATGGTTGCTACTGGGTTCGGTCCTTGATCAACTTCTGCTCGGACGACTTCCTGTACGTGGGTGCGTACGTGGGTGCGTACATGAGTGCGCTGGTTGGCCGAGGCTGAAGATTCAAGCCGGGACCAAGGAGGATGAAGAGGAGGAAGAGACGAAGAAACCTAAGGTGGAGCCTTGCTGGCGATTCAACTGCGCTGGTCTTGAGGTAAATTTCACTAATCACATTCAGGACATTGCACTTGACCACTGCCCAACAGACTGCGCAAAGTACAACAACAGTTGCAGCTTTTTCTAACTCTTGGAAACTTAATGTATTACCTGGTTTTGCCGGAGGGCAGCGGATCAGAAGGTAGTGTGGTCAGGCGACTTGTCCGCTGCTACTCATCGAACCCAATGAAACCAGCGCACTCCAGGGGAACATGCTTCCAATACTGCGTCAAAAGACCCTTGAACCCATGGAACAACCTTTGGACAAAGACACGGCAAGAGCCACTTGGTGAAGTGCTCCTCATTTGGCCCACACGCATGCAGCACACGGCTTTTGTTGGCGAACATCTGAGTTGGGACTTGGACAGAGTGAACCCTGCCACTGTGGAGAGTTGTTCTCATGAGATCTCATCAGGGGTGTTGTAATTTTCATAGAAGATGTGGACATGTATGGACCATGGTGTACCAATGGACCCTTTAAGTGGTGGCCGTAGGTGGCTGGTCCACTGGTCCACAGGTCCTCAACTCCTGAGCTTCCTTTCGAAACACCTTTGGGCCAGCCGTTGCTGTGTCTGCCCAGTGCGAGGCATTCTCCAGGGTCCGTTGTACGTAGTGACGTAGTAGTGGAATGTCTTTGGCGGATTCCCCAAAAAAAACTGGACCCAAAACAAGCACCCTTATGTCAGCTATGCTGGCGTTTATCTATAGTCAGCTATGCTGGGTGCGTCACTTCCGTCCACGTCGCTCGGATTGGACGTCGGGACGGCGGCCCCGGGTCACGGTGCGGTGCGTTTCGGCGCGCTTCTGCGGTGCTCCGGCGGAGCGGGTTCGCGATTCCAAGGAGAAGAAGAAGGAGGGAAAAGCCACCAAGAAGAGGAAACCAGAAGAGGAAGAAGAAGAACCACCGGCCAAGAAGAAGAAAAAGAAGGAGGACGGACAACGGATGCGGACGGAAATTGACTGGAGATGAGCATAGTTAACCGGAACGGGCATGAATCGAACCTGTTCATTAAACGGGGGTTGGGGAATGCTGGTTTGAATTTCGAAACCATGTGGAATCTAATCGGACAGAACGCGGGCGCAGTCTCAGTACCATGTTGCAACTGATAGGTCTGATAGGTGGTAGCCTCGTAGTGCACAAGCCAACACATGATTTATCGGGGTGTGGGGACACAGGATGGCTACACCCCACAAACTCAAAGACTAGCAAGATGGACAAGCAACAATGGTCAAGGCATGCCCGCTAGATTGTGATCGTTGACGGGGAAGTATATGGGCCTTTCTCACATGGAGCTTCAACTAGTCCGGGACTTACCCGAGGTTCATAGGTCGGGTCCCTAGCTTCAACGTGCTTCTGGTGTTTCCCCTAGGGATCCAGGTGCGTTCTCATGTACTTGGACCGGACCTTCCTGGTGCCTATGTGTCTCCCTGCTCAACCTCTCAAGAGGGTGGTGGATCCATAGGGTTTTCTAGTTCTTGTTGATTTGGATGATCCAAATGTACGCCAAGGTGAAGACTTACCCTTTGAGTGGATGACCTGCTATTCACCTTTCTTGGGTAGCATAGCTCCTATTGGAGCGGGTGGCATTGTCCATGCCAAAGAAGGAGCCTTTGTGTCCAATTCGTCCGGAATAAGAAGTTCGAATCCTGGCACTTGGACCTACCCAGATAACCTTCTGACCTTTCTTGGAGTGAATCGGGGACACCTCACGAAACAGGAGCAGTTGGAAAGTTCCAGACAAAATTGGGGCTTGTCCGTACTGACCGATGCAACCGTCGATCAACAAGAACATCTGTCGGTCGATTGAAAGACCAATTCGGCCCCCTCATCCACTGAAAATGCTTGGAAGTTGGGAATCGATCCGAATAGCCTTCACCTGTCTCCAAAGACGCTGCAGAGAGTCAGCGAGATCGCCGGTGTCCGAAGACCTTTGTCGAATCTTGACAGGACGATGACGAGGAGCCCAAGAAGAAGCCGAAAAAGAAGTGAGTGAAAGACAGCACACATTCAGCAGAATTAACTACCAAAGACAAAGATCACAGTTTTCACAAAGTGTTGTTGAGCAAATCCCTTCTTAAGGCTGTCCTTTCTTATGAGGATGTCGATGGCAACCTTGACGACCCTAAACAGTCTATAAGTATGTTTAAGTTTCTTTCGTACCAACTTACTCCCCTGCACATGCCAATTCCTGCTTCGCAGGCTAGTCACGGCTCACCTCACACCACCCATACCCCCTACCTTCACTCACTCACCAGCCGGGAACGACCCAGACGACGGTCTCTCACGGTACTCCCTCCTTGCACCGACGCGCCGTGAGTGAGCGCAACGCCCCGCGCGCCTCGATGCTCCCGACCGGGGGCCCCGACCGAGCAAAAACGGCGACCGAGCGACCGAGCTCGATCAGCGGGGACCGAGCGACCGTAGCACCGGGGTCAGCGGGGACCACGGGGCGAGGGAGGGCGAGGGTGAGCGGGGAGGTGTTTGGGGCCTTGTTCCCGATTTGGAAGGCCCTTCCATATCCTTGCACTTGCGGTGAGTATGCGAAGTAGTATGGGCATCAACGTTTATATTGCCCCTCAGGGACGGGGCAGCACTCTCTAGGGGGTCCAATGTGGTCCATATAGAGTTTTGCTGATTCCACGGCAAGCTCAGCGAGAAAGCACAAAGCTCAATATGATGAAGAGATGAAGATGTATGAACAAGAAAGAGGTAGATCGCCTTGAGAGTTTATGCACATTAAACTGTCCTTTGGGGTTTAAGAAGCTTCAGTTCCAAACCGCTTCAATTCTGCAGGCCTGCTTCTGCGTAGCGAAGGAAAGCGACAAGAGCAGCAGTCCAAGCTTGAAACAAACATGATCTCCGGACATATCATATGCACTGTATCCAACAAGAGACAGACTATCAAACCAGCTCAGGAATTTGGGCTGCTAAGTGGACTTCTTTCAGCCAGCTGAGCCAACCCCCCTCCAAGTTCTTTGCCCGAACGGCTGGCATCTCAGTTGCAGATCCCATCCCTTCAAGAGTCCGTTCTTGTTCTTTTGTTTTGCCCAATTGGTAGACATCCAACATCACCAAACGCTTCCAACTGCTTACGTAGACCCCCACGCCTCGCTCAGCGCTGTTCGCTTTCGCTGCACCGGGTGAGACACCCGATCTCGCCATGGCGCTCTTCGAGGGGATCCTCCGACCGGCGCGGGGATCCGACCGGCGCGGAGCTGGGTGATGAAGTCAGCTTTTGGGATTCATCCCAGCTTTGGGATGAGTCAACGTGGGGTCCCAAGTACAGTCATCACTAGTAAGGGCCACAGGATGAGTCTCTTGGACTGGATGGCTAAGCTTTGGGGTGATGAATCTGAGATGTCACTCGTTTGAGCTCGTTCGTCGAACTCGACTTGTTGGGGTGATTCACCGGTACAGTGGGTTAAGACTGTTAAGACCAAGGCACCATCAAAGGAGCCCACCACCATGGTTGCAAGATGTTGCAAGGCTGGACGGTGAATCACCCCCAAGAGCAGGGTGACCACCCGAGCCAGTGAATTCACTTCAGAAGTTGGATTGACCAGGGCTATACGGGTGCCATGAGCTTGTAGCCAAAATTGTCCTGGGCTGAAGCTCAAAACATGTTTGTTTGGACATCCCTCGTCGGAGACTTGCAGGTGTTAAAATTAGGCAATGTCGGAATGTCGATGCGAGAGTTGGTTCTGCAGAATCTGGAAAAGGCAATGGCTCTTGCACAGGGAACTTGCGCACTGCCTTCTGGTCTAATTTCTCTTCCTTGAACAATCCCAGCATGCTTGACGAACCATGTCCGTGAATAATTACCTTGACTGCTTGATCCAAGTCACAGGCACTGTCATTTGATTGTGAAACCTACTGGCAATTCAGAGCCGCCGGAACCCGTACAACATGGAATCCCAGAACTGCTTCGATGTTTAATGAACCCATTCTTGTGCCACACTTCACAGCTCCCACGTGCACAATGTGGCAATGGCGGACACATTTTCCTTGTGGCAAAGTAGATACCAGCAGGACAAAGGCAGTTTGCCCACCAACGTTGAGCAGTTTCTGTCATTCGTTAGAAACCGTGGTGGCTCCTTGCCCTATGCCGCTGTAAAGCAGCGTTTCAATGAGCAAGCTGTCCGCACAGCCCATGAACCCCATGAACAGGATCCAAGTGATGATCAGAGCGATGCAACTGCACCTGTCCGAGCTGCCGCCGATGCAACTAGTAGGACCTGGAGGAGCAGAAATGCAGCAGCCTTTGCTGAGACCGAGCATGAATGGGGACAATGGGGGGGACCCTATGTCACCAGGAACAAAGAAGACCCAGATCACACTTCTCTCAAACAAGAAAATGAACGATTGCAGCAGGAAGTTCAAGACTTAAAGCTCACGTTGCAGCTGCTGTCACCGGCCGAGCAAGAAATGGCTGAGAGAGGAGCTACCATGGTGGATTGAGCAGTCCACTCGGCGGCAACGCCAACATCCAGTGTTGATTCCCGTTTTTGCCATCCGCTTCACGCATGAATGCGTGAATGCCTCCCTGGCATTTGGCGATGAGCACGGGAACGCTCAGGAGAACATCCTGAAGCTCTATGACCAACTATTTCGCGGGCGTGTTGCGGTCGATGAAGTTGACCCGTTGACGGTCAAGCTTCCGCGAGATCGCGAAGATGACTCTGGCATCAAGTCGCGGAATAACAGACGGCTTCTTGCTCTCCGAATGCTGCAAAGCGCGCGGATGGACGATCCACTCAAAGTGCCTTGCAGGGTGCATTCCCACCAAGATTATTTGTCGAACCAGAAGTTTCGTGCCTGGTTCGATTATGGTGATGATCGGCGCTCCGGGTGGTCTATCAGAAGCAGAGACGGTAAATCCAAGCACCGTGGTGTAGCAATATTCAACAATGCAGATGCAGCTGAAAAAGGATTGAGAAACTTGATCAAACGTGCAAAAAAGAAGGCGTCGCCGAATGACAGGAAAATTTCAATTGTGGAAGAAACATTGAACTTGATCAAGCGTCGCCCTGTCGGGGAAGGCGAAGATGATGAGGAGACCCTGACTTTTGCCAGCGCAGACGACAGAGGCTGGAGGAGCTGGCCGCGCTCACACCATGATGCTGGTGCGACTCGTGTGCATGCTGGTCGACAGTTCGGGGCGGAAGAGCCATGGAATACGGACGACCCATGGCAAGCCCGGCCGCCATGATTGAGTGGGAAATCACTTGGCATGACTGAACAGCAGCTTGCAAACCTGCAATCAGCTGCTGAATCAGCTTGCCAACTTCTCGTTGTCACTCCGGTGTTGACCCGCAGCCTTAGCGCGTGTGCGTGAAAAAACAAAGGATTGTACGTATGTGGAGGTGCCACCGAGGGATGCCAAAGTTCACTGGTTCCAAGCGGTTTCATTTGGGCCATTTTGTGGGGGGGATGATGGTAAAAATCTGCCAGATCAATGTAGGCTAATTAGCGTGCCAGACCATGTCTCCAACAAACCTGGTGTCGTATTTTGAGCTTGGTAGGTGATGGGTTCTTCAAGTGCCATTTGATTCCTGTTCACTGTTACTGTGCAGCCCCCTTTTCCAACTTTTTCACGGTTGCAAAACAGTGGAAGCAGCCAGCCGTATCCAGCCGTCAGGGCCGCCCTTTGGAGCAACGCCCCCTGGACTGCCTCGCACCGCCGGGCGGCGTGTTGCACCGCCTGGCCGCGGAGGACGATGCGGCGGCTTTGCGGGCGCTGCTGGGCGCGGACGCGGCGCTGCCCGCGGACGTGGCGTGGTGCCAAGAGGTGTGGCTCGGTGAATCTCAGTGGACGCTTTTCACGCGCGATGTTTCATTCAGCGATATGAGATACAGACAGATGATAGTACACATTGTGATATATCCACTGCAAGCTATACGTGGGGTGTTTGGGCGGCGCTGATGCGGCGATTTGAACGTGTGCATATTTAAAAACAACATGAAACGACTGATGTTTTTTGTGTTTCACCTCTAGGTTGGTGCCAGCCGATGTTCCATATGGCACCTGCACGTTCTTTCCAACAACCTGCATCACCTTGGCAGGCGCCGTTGCCGAAATTGGCAACGGGCTCCAGCTGGCTCCACCCTCATTTTCCTCTCGTTGTTTGTCCAGTTTGGGTTGTCATCATGTCAATCATGAAGAACCAGCAGGACAACTGAGATAGAAAAGTAGATCCCCACGAAGAATGTATAATCATTTCAAATCATTTCTCTCTATTTGGGAACCAGCTTGATGTTCTTCGCGTTTGTTGCTGCCCTTCAGCACCCCTTGGGTCCCTTTGGATCCCGAGGTGGATCGATGAGGACGGCCGTAGCCCGCTCCACCTGGCGGCGCGCGCCAACGCGGCGGAGACGGTGGCACTGCTGCTGGAGGCAGCGGCGGACGTGAACCAGGCCCTCGCTGACCGAAGAGTGAAACAAAGAGGTGACTATAGATAAGTACAAGAGGGTTCGGTAAGTAGGGAAGGTGATGGTGCCAGTGATGGTTCCTTGCAAGATTGCCGTAGTGTGGCATGGCCAATTAATTGGTACAAAACAGGATGGTTTATGCACCAGAAGTTGTGCAACGTGGAATGTACGGCTTTGGTCAAGCCCCAAACGGCGTTTTTTGAAGGTCCCCCCTTCAGCACCAGAAATGGTCCTTTCAGAAGGCCTTGATCATCCAGCCAGCCAATGCCAGGCACCCTGAGTATTCGTCCGTAACTTTGACTAGCACTAGCCAAGAAAGTGCAGTAACCCAGACTCTTTTGGTGACTTCACTTTTCAGAAGAAAGTGAAATAACACGGACTCGTTTGGTAACTTGGCCAAGTGGACGTCGACGCATCCTGGGTGCGTTTGGGACTGCTTGGGACCGATTTGCACATCGGTGTCCGAGGCGGACCGCTTTGGGCACACACCGCTGCATCACGTGGCCATGTGCCCACAGGAGTTGACGTCACTGGAGGTGCCATGGAGACTGCTGGATGCTGAAGCTGAGGCTGGAAGAGCTACGCAGTTACACATGTGTGGTGTTTTGGTTTGGGCTGACAGGCTGAACCATGCTCCGAATGAAAGGGGTGTTTCTACGGTTGGATGGTTTGGATGGTGGGCACTGACCTGAAGTGTTCAACGATGAACACTCTTGAGGTGAGAATAGAACCCCTACTACATCTCATAGCCATAGATTGTGAATGGTTGTTGCAACCTATGACTATAGCAGCTATAGCATACTTCCACCAACTGAGAAGATCACTCCCCCAACAAAAATCAAACAACACGAAATGGAATGAATCCACGAGAGCAAAAAGCAAGGAGAACACAACAACAAGGTAGGCGCGACAGTTCTCACAAAACATCGCCCAAAACAACGAAGCAGCATCATCGCTATAGCAAAACGGGTTGAACATCACCAAGCATCAAGATGAACACAACCACATAAATCACATAAAATTCAAATTACTGAACATGTTCACCGACCAGACCAACCTCCTCCAGATGTTTGTCCATGTTTCGTTAACCTTTCCCTTCAAGGTCCATGCGCTGGGCCGTTGCAACGACGTGCCACTCCACCTGGCCGCCTGCTACGGCCACCACGCCCTTTGCGCGCTGCTCCTGGCGCGCTGGGCGGACCCGAAGCTCTGCGACTGGAGCAGCGCCACGGCGCTGCAGATCGCGGTGCAGCATCAGCAGCTTCGAACAGCGGAGGTTCTGAGCGAGTGGCGGCCCTTGGAGGTTCTGGAGCCGGTCCAGGGTGGTGGAGCCGAAAGGAGTGGCCGGTTTGGGCATGTGGCAGGCATGTGGCAGTTGAGCTAGAGAGTGTTTTTTTTCAAGCAGATGGAAGTAGGATGGAGGTCCTTACTTGCAGACTCCGCTGTGTTCTGCGTGGTGGAAAGCATGATGCAGTCTAAGAGTGAGTTTAGCACAGAGAGAGAGAGAGAGATCATGATCATCAAGAATATCTTCATCATCAGTTTCATCCTGTGTCCTCCTTTTGTCCTCATCCCTGACATTGCCTGACACATTTTGCACACCACATGTGTTTTGAAAGTTTGCTGGTGAGCGGTAGGAGTGCTCCTATGAGGTTTCAGGTGGGGAGTTGAGAGGCTGGGCTGTTCGCACTCTGGTCAATTCAGGACTTTGTTGGTGGTTTTCAACCATGGTGCCTGGCCCTTGGTCACAGGGTGCATGGCTCCTCACGCCTGACATCAGGTGGAGCTTCCTGACGCCTCCTCCGTGGTCGTTTGGCTCCGCCCCAGTGCCACCCACGCGGAGCTCTGCGGCCGCCTGGCGGGCGTGGCGGGCGTCAGCGCCTCCGCCTTCGTGGAGTGCCAGATGCGACTTGGTGAGTGTGGCAAGGCCTTGTGAAATCTGATCCACCCCACCCTTTGGAAAGTTCAAGAACCCCAAAAAGCATGAGAATTCCATGTATAACCACCATGTATGTCTGATGGAAAGTCTTAAGAATTGGTTGGAAGATTCCAACCACAAGAACGGGACCATCCCGCCGCATTGTCCGTGGCTGGCATGTTGCACAGAATCCAGTTTCTCCACACCTGGGGCCTAAGGGTCTTGGATGGATTTGTGCGTGCTTGATTTTCTGGAGGTACGTGATGTTTAAACAGGGTGGCGTGCAACAAATCTGGCTTCTTGGACATCAACATAGCCAGGGAAGAGACATCAACCCACACCGGCCTTTCAACAATCCTGGTCATACCCAAGATGATTGACATCGTCCTGACAGCATGAAACCGGCGATGCTCAGCATCAATGTAGAGCGATGTCAAGGAGAGAAACTGTCGATTCAAAGGTTTATAGACATAGTCGGACATAGTTACATAGTTACATATAGATTGCGACTTCTAGGGTGATCTAAAGAACACTCGGACTGAAACTTATATGTCAAGTCATCACTCGCAATGGTGATCTAATCAATCATCACTAATGAAATAATCATCCACACATGTCAAAATCCATCACTTGCATTGCTGATCAAGCAAGACCTTTGGGGACTTGTCTTCATGATCTCACCCGCTTGCACCCCTCACCCAGGTGCCTCCCCGAGCGTCCCTTCCATTCCACGCGGGCGCCGGAGCCGTCGACGTGCCGGGACCTCCTGCGGCACCGGCGCGTGCGCTTGGCGCCGGTGCCGGTGCCGGCACATGGCTGGGAGGAGCTGTGGGCGCCGGAGATGATGCCGTCAGAGACTTGGGCGGAACCCTATTTTTGGGGAGGGCTTACCCAAAAAGAGAAAAGAGGACAAACATACAAGGCGGCCAGTTATAGATGATCTAGCAGTTTCAACCACCAAGCAGCCTTTCTTTCTCGCGAGCCGGTTGTGAGCAAAATGTGGCATAGGGATAGTCAGCATTTTGGTTGAGAGAACCCTTCCATTCAGGGTTTCCGGTTTCAGGTCGCCCTAGTGCAGTGACGCCTGGCACTGGACATGCCGGACTGAACGACAGAACCATGCCCACCTGAGCAAGGCCGCATCGGTGCCCTCGCTCGGCGCATGCGACGGGACACCTCTCAGGTGGAACGTGACCAGTAAATAGGACCCCGTCGCCTGGGCGGACGTGACTGGGAGAGCCGAAGGATCGGGTTCTTCAACCTCTGGAAGACCGGAATTTGGAGAGTTCCATGGGGCTCCGGTCGTGTAGTAAGACCCCTTGCTACTCTGGAGGAAGGGGAAGAGAGTTCGGTGGAAGACGAGGTCCGGTCCGGTGCGGAGCGGAAGAGGTACAGAGGAAATGTCTCCGTGCGTAAGGCCAAGAGAGTGGAATTGCGAAAGAGGAGTTGTGAGAGAGAGATGAAACCATGAAACCACTTGGATGTTTCTTCCACTGCATCTTGCAATCTCTTGCATTTGTTTGAAGAGGTTCATTTGCCCACCTAACCAGGGTGAGTGCAAGTATTTTGATGTCCAAGACCCAAGTATCCCAAGTGCATCCAAGTGCCCAAGCGAGCATAGCCAGCTATCTAAATAATGCAGCTTCAGCAAGCACCGCATGTTTGCCCTACTGGCGCTTCGAGGATCTTTCGTGGACTCCATGTGAAGAGTTTGACACTGCTGCCTTGTCGGATGCGCATCCCTTCGCACAGAAGCTCGGATCAGACACTGCGAGCTCGGATCTTTGTGGCTCTAGTGATGGTCAAAAAAGCAGGGTTTGAGGGTCCTGGTGGGGCCAAGCAATCACAAGGAGAGTGAGCGATGAGGTTGTCACAGTGGTCTTGGGGGGTCTTCGGGTTTCTCAGTGTCAGGGCCATAGGTACACCCACCAGTTGCGATGAGCTATTGGTTCGAGGGAGTCCCCAGTTTTGATCAACCAACATTATCTCGTGGCTGTCTCGTATGGATCTATGCAGTTCATTGGTTGTCTTATTTTTTCCAGTTCCTTTGAAGGTCATCCCTGGGTGTGCACTGACAGCATGATCGGAACGCGACTGTGTTGACTTCCGGGACATCTGAGACATCCCTTGAAACTCTTCCTCAACTGCTTTGTCCAACCGAATCGGCAGGAAATTGATGCAGTTCTTTGATCAGCACAGCAGCAACTTCTACAGCACCGCGGTTCAGCTGCTGCGGGTGCCATCTGAACGGCTCAGGGAATTTCATGAGGCAATTTCCCGTCGGGGCACCCAGGTAGCTTCACTGCAGGTGTCGTGGGTGTGGTCGATTTTGCTCAACCTTTGTCGGACCATTGCACACCTATATATACAGGGTTGATGTTCTTGTTCTTCGGCTTGGCTTCCACGAGGTTTCATGCTTGCCCGCTCACTTGAACCACGTCATCATCAGAAAATGAGAGACCAAAGGCAACAACTGAATCAAGAAGGTGATGAAACCGCAACCCTCACTCAGCCGGCCATAATAGAATAGAAGAACAACAGAAACCACAACAGAAAAAACTAAGAAATCATTGAACTAACCACTCTTGTGTCGTTGCATGTCCTCTTGAGGTTTGGAATGCCAAATGCTCATCCCCTACGGCTCTCAGCACACTCCCCGCGCGACCGCCGCTCTGGCGCGACAGCCCCTGGGTGTGCTGTGGGCAGAGGCGCGGCCAGAGGCGCGGCCTGGTGCGGCGCTGGCCATGCTGAGGAGCTCAGAGGTGTCCATCAGAGGTCCCATCTCTTGCATCTAATTAAATCGTTAAATGTTTTTTAAATGTTCAAGCTATTAATATAACATTGATTGATGACTTTCTTTCCTGGGGTCCAACCCTGCCCTACCTGTTTGCGGAAAGCCTTTTTGGTGATAATATATTGGCAACAGAGGTCGAGAAATCCGCAGTGGGACCTTGATCAGTGGGAACTCACTCAGTGAGAATCCTTTTCGGATTACAATCTCAACCCCGCAGTGACGTTCTTTGCCACCCGCATCGAATCCACTCGTGTGCATAGAATCCACTGTCGTTGGAGCAAGCAGATCGTCGGTGCAGGAGCCAAGCTGTTGCCCTTTGTGGCGCAACACTGGGCACACGGCGCTTACAACATGCCGCCCGCTTAGCTGTTTTTGGTTAGTGTTTGGAACGCTTCTTGGGTTGAAGCTGAATCAGTGCTTGTGAAAACCATCGAAAGCGAGCTGATGTCCACAACAACAAAAATTGGCCAGCAGTGCATGACCAACTGATGTGCTTTTGTTTCCCAAGCTCAGTTTGCCACGCAGCAAGGACCCTGTGCAGGTGTCAGGCACCGTGAGGTGAACTCGACCAAGGGGAGGCAGTGACTCGAGCGTCACACACTCGTCCCAAGGTCTCCTTCGCCCTGGCCTGGGCGCGTGACGACGCGAATCTGCACGTCACCGGTGAGAAGGCCATCGAAGGTGGGGCTGTCAGCTCGCTGTCAGCTCGCTGACCGCGCGGTGGTGGGGAGCTGAAGCCGCTCGAGAGGTGAAGGTTCTCGGGCCGTTTGAAAGGTGCGAAGTCGGGAAGATGGACCTACCAGGAGTCACGTAAGATGACGGGGTGCCGAACGAACGGAGGATTCTGATAGGGGTGCCCCTGTCACATCCACTGGATGGGAACGAAAAAACGCTCCTGGTGTATTTAGATGTTATGCGGATTTCATTTACGGTGTACGGCTTCAGCGTAGCACCCGCTCACCCACGCACCCGCTGCCAGCAGCTAGCATTCCTGGTGACCTGGTGTCCAGGTTGCGGGGAGGAGACCTCGGTGCTGGCCTACCTTGTGGCCTACACCACAGCCTTTCCCGTTTCGAAGCACCGATCCTACAGGCGAACCCGAGGGTTCGCCGCAGCAGTGAGTGGTGGATGATGTGGTTCACTGGGTAGAGTGGTGGCTCAAAGATGCATAAAGTCATGTGTTTCGCCGTTGTTCATCTCCAAAGTTACCTTAACCTCAAGCAATCTCAGTACGTAGAGTGCTTTTTCTCTTTGTCACAGGTACCTCAGTCGAAACAGAACCAGACCGCGTCACCATGCCCACCAGACCTCATCTCCCTCCACCAGACCTCTCTCTCGTCAGGCGCCACCGTTGGGAGCTCCACCCGCACCCGCCGGGCTTCGACCTCTACGTGTTGGGCGGCGCTGGCCGTCATCAAGCGCGGCCGCTGGCGGAGTACCAGTGGCTTGGACAGGGAGTCGCAAGGGAGGCGGGTAACACCTTGAGACCGATCGTGTGCCAGGCCGAAGTATGACACCCTTTATACTTCCAGAAAGGATGTATAGATATATGTATAGACTGGATGCATAGCAGTCCGTCCTTCTGAGAAGATACTTGGTGGTTCTTTGAACGTTGAGGTTTTATTAAGGAACTGTGATTCCAGCAGTTTGAAGGGCAGACACCGCGAATCATTTGTTGAGTGACCCTCAGAATAGAACCACATGATTTGCGCCACCAGTCCAGATATCAATGATGAACACGCCATGACCTGCAGAAGCTCATGGCTTCTTGGGCGGACTGGCCCTTGATAGACCGGTGGAGTGATTCCCTTGATAGACCGGAGTCAGCAGCAGGAGCTTTCGAGGTGTTTCTCTCACTTCAGTCTATGCTGCCGACATATAGACTCATGGACATCGCTTGGGCTATGTCCACTTGTGTTTCTGGTTCTGGACACTTTTCAGCCACCCGCCGAGTCATGCCTTGATTGACTTTGCTAACCGTTTCCTCGCTCACCCAAACCAGGTTGTTCCCCGTGGAGGACGCGCAGCTTCTCCCCTTTGCTGCCGCTGGGACTCGCAAGATGGGGCAGAAACCATGAACTGTTGGCTGCAAGGATCTTGAGAAGATGTGTGCACAGACAGTGTAGGGCGTATAAGCTGTGATATTTGACTAAGCCTTTCAAGGACCTTTCAGTGGTCAAAGGATGCTTTTCTGAGGCGCACAGCCAGACATTACATGCTTTCATCAGATTCAAGGTGTGACAAACCCCACAGACACTCCATGTAGGGCGCCATAGTAGTTACCTTGGGGGTGGTTGTAAAGGCTAGCAATGGGGCTGTAGATGTTTCAATCCCATCAGTTCCTTCAGGTCGTCCATGTCCAGCGCGGCAGTGTGGCAGGCCGCGCGCTGTCTCCCGCGCGGAGGCCGAGTATGGAGACGGAGTGACTGGATGCGAAGGGGATGAGAGCCACACTGAGAAATCCGAAGGCCTTCTTTAGGATATGGAAGATGTACCTGGATTTGTATTTGGACCTAGTTCTGGACCTTTATGTCGGGATTGTACCTGGATTTGTACCTGGACCTTCCTGTCATTGTCGGGGTGTCCTTCCAACCAGGTGAAGCCTTGTTGGCTGGTGGATCTAGCAACAGAATCCTCAGGATCTGCGGGGCCGGAGTGTGTTCAATGGAGCTGGCAACCATGTGAGGATAGGCATGGCGACCATTGCAGAGCCACCCCTTGATGATAGGACCATTGGAACTGGTGCAGAACTCATTGGAACTACGTCAGCACCCTCTTGGTTCAGCACCCCTTGATGATGGGTGTGACGCTTCACTTGAAAGGTTCAGGCCCGAGTCAGAAGAGGTGATGGGGGGAGTCATTTGGATTGGAAGTCACATGGGGCCCTATGTGCGGGTCCTCAAAGGATGGATGCCCAAGTCATGAAATCCAAAGGCCCAATTTGCCAACTTCTTCAGACCAGCCAACCTGCCGAGACCCGTTTCGTGGTCACGTCGATCAAGCCGATCATCGGAAGCGCAGATGTGGAGGATAGGCTCCCGTGCGATACAAAGATGACAAGTATCTTAGTGAGTTTTGTTCCTAAATGACTTGGAATCACTCAAGATCAAGGGTACGCATCCATGGGTAAGGCTTTGACTCCTTTGCGCTGGGATATGGAGCATGTCTCCTTTGAGTGCTGGAAACATTACCCTGACATATGTGACACCCTAACCAGATATTAACAAGTTAGCATAACATTTGCCGACATTGGGCCGTTTTCAAGATGTTTCGAGGGTCAATGTATGTAAATTTTCCATGAAATGGATGGTCTGGGTTGAGAAGCGTTCAGTGAGCTCGGCACTTCGGGCGGAACCGGCCGATCGATCCGCTTCAGACTGAGGCGCGACAGCTGTTTGAAGGCGAGGCGTTCCTTCCTCTTGCCGATTCGCGCGAGGCGGTGTGCGGTGCCACGGAGACGCGTGCCACACCTGCCACGCACAGACCCCACTGGTATGAGGTTGGGGGGCACTCCTCGAGTTCCGAACCCCGTGTGGGGAGTGGCTCAATCTTGTCCCACACCCTGAACTACATGGCCGCTGACATGGTTGCCTAGACTGGGAGAATCGAAGCGGGAGCGTCGGCTCGATTCGTGAGCAGGGAAGGACGCATGTGTGACACCAGCTACCGACACTCCCGCTTCGTCTCAAATCCCAGCGGTGATTGACCCAGTGGTGCGAGCTTTGGAGGATCCACCCTCCTTGCTTGAGCAACCCTTCTTAAAATGAATGTACTATTTAGAACTATACACTATCTCTCGTTTTCTCCAGCTGTTCCAAAAATGTTATTTCTATAGCTATGCCTAGAGTTGTAGCATGTCAATACAGTCAAACCTCGAAGCCAAGCTTAGCTTTTTTTCACCCTCCCGCCGATGCCCAACCGCAGTGTTTAAACAGCGCAAGAACAGCATGATCCATGATCCGCACCGCATGACCCGCGCGGCATTGACCGCACGGCGCCTTCTTGTGGCGCTCTTCTGCGCACGTTTGCTGGCCGCGCCTGTGCGCACGAACGATGGAGTCGTCCTGTGCCCGGCCGGGCAGCGGCCGGATGGCCAGGGTCGATGTGTGCCTGTGCCTTGGAGGGGTTGCACTCGTGGACCATGATGGGACTTGATGGACTGCCTTTGTCACAGAGATGTTTGATGATGGTGTGATTTATCAGTTGGTTTTAGTGTTTTTGAAGTTTTGGGTTCATACAATGTCCACTTTCTGGGGGTTCCACACCTTCATTCTGGCATTTCGTGTTTTTGGAAGGCGGGCCGTTTTTTGGCGGAAGGGAGACGCTCAAAAGAGATCTCAAGGGGCTTTGCTTTTGTCCAATTGCCTTCACTAAAATGCAAGACCTTAGGGCTCCAAGGACCTTCTTAGAAGGTGTTTGGGGTGGGTTTAGAGGGTCCAAATACCTTCTAAGGAGGTACTTGGAGCCCTAGGGAGATACAATCATGGTGGGATTCTCTCAAATGGATTGTGAACACGACACCCACTCTTTCCGATCGAGCATTTTGTTGCACAGGGCGAGGAATCAACCTCACCAGAGAGAGAGGTCTTCACAGAAGTAAGCAGAGTACTTCAGTTGAATCATTGAACCACCCCCACAAGCCGTTTGGATCCACTTCCGTGCGTTGAGCACGTCTTCGTTCTGAGGTGGTTTGTCCGCCCGGCACCGTCACCGCCTTTCCGGCCTTCGCAGCCTGCGTTCCCTGCCATGCCGGTGGCTACGCGAACGCCCAGGGCACCCTATGCTTGGCCTGTGAGGATGGGATCTCGGCCAGTGGAAGCACCAAATGTGAAGCGCCTCGGCGGCTGAGATTCACTTCGATCTATCGGTCGGCCTGGCGCTATGAAGAGCTGCGGACACAAGGCATGCCATACCCCTCACAAAAACTCTACGTGAAGGTGGTGGGATAGGGAAGTTTTATTTTAAACATGACAATCAATTAAGAGTAGTGCTCCGTTGCACTATGTTTGTTGGAGTTGGTCAAGGGCAGCAGGATCAACTGCGGTCACATGGCGCCATTTAGAACTCTTTAAATGGTGAACGCCAAAGCGTTTGGCACCGTTTGTTTCGAACCCTTTGGGTGAAAACGCTCCAATGTGCTTGGCGCGGCCTCCCACCAATGAGGCGAACAGTACTTATTGTGCGAAGTCTCAGGTTGTCGGTGGTCGGTGCAGGTTGAACGTGTAGACTTCCATAGTACGGCGCACCACGCGGGTGTGTAGTAACACCCAGACACAACCCAGAAAACTGGAATAGATGCCTACAAATGACCCCCCTGGCAGCCACCACCCCAATGTATATCGGCAGTCCTATCGTAGTGCGTATTCGGACGATCAGTTTGACCCCGAAGGAAAATCGACCCGTGTACCCAGATGGGGGCCGAACTTGGTCGAACATTGCACACCCACATGGCAACTGGAAATTTTACACAAACATGTGGAACTAACGAGGCGAACGCTTGGCGACCACACGGCTCACATGACAGATGTAGGGGGCGCAACAGACATCCGCGCATTCGCCGTTGGCGACAAGCTTGCCCTGAACCAGGTAACCGGTCGTGCCCTCTTTGAATCATAAGCCATGAAGCGCTTGTTTGGGCAGAACATCATAGAAGCCTGCAAACACAAGCAAGAATTGTTTCTATCGTCTCCAGATTCCACTGAGGCATGCGAGGGAGTTTTCTTCAACCTGCAACCAGACGCACCACATGAACGCTGCGAGATCACTGCCGTGAGCATCCTGACGCCGGTGAAGTTTTTCCTTTGCCTATTGGGTGCCTTCGTCAACAGTGTTCTTATTGGGTTGGATGATACTGAAGTGGGCAGCAGCTTATAGATGAGAAGATGCACTACTTTCGTCTACGAGTCTACGTTCAAGGTGATTTGTATTGTTTGCAGTGCCACAATGGAAGAGATCGCTTGGGGTGGGGTATTCATATAGCCCATGTTTCAGCCATACCCACCCGGTCCCACGTGTCATGCGTTACTAAAGGCAACTCCCATCACTGCTTTGGTGTCGTCGACACGGCCAGTCTCCGTCCCTGCTCCGTGCTCCCTGGCCACCGGAGTGTGCTCAGTGGCGCCTGAGGCCTCTTCCAACTACTTGCCATGGCCAGGATTTACTGCCTTGAAGTCACGGATGTGTCCTTGCAGTCTGGGCAGACGGTGATCAGTACATTGGGTGGCTGAGCTGAGAGCTTGGGGAGACCTGATCAGGAAATGTCGAACCCGACTTGGGAACGGTACCCTTGCAGTCTTGGGACGTGATTGACATGACACTCGTAATGGGACGTGCCCAGGCACGAACTGGGACTCGAGGAACACAATGTGGAATAGATGGAATAGTGTATCTGAGTTTACTCCATGTTTGAGTCCCAAAGACACGTTTAACCCTAAACCACTCGAGCAGAAATTCAAGCAGACAATCGACCCAGACAGGTCGGTTTGGAGGGGTTGTCATATGGGCATTGATCATCACCCACAGTCCCGTTCCTTTGTAGACCAAGGCCAGGTAGCAGAAACCATTTAACAACTCCAATGCAAACTCCGAACACTGAAAGGAACCATAAGGCAGAAATTAAAAGAAATATCCCAGCAAGAGACCTAAACAGTGTGTGTGAGGTCTCGAGGTGTAGCAGCAGAAAGTCTAGAGATCTAGTGAGAGTGAGAATGAGAGTGAGAGAGAGAGAGAGTGACAGTGAGAGTGTGAGTGAGTAAGAGTGAGTGAGAGTGAGTGAGTGAGTGAGAGTGAGAGTGAGTGAGAGTGAGAGTGAGAGAGTGAGAGAGTGAGAGAGTGAGAGAGTGAGAGAGTGAGTGAGTGAGTGAGTGAGTGAGTGAGTGAGTGAGTGAGAGTGAGTGAGTGAGTGAGTGAGTGAGAGTGTGAGTGAGAGTGTGGATGTGAGTGAGTGAGTGAGTGAGCGAGTGAGTGAGTGAGAATCTGAGAGCATTAAGTGCTTCGCCTGCCACGAAATCTGCAGTTCGAAGTACAATACCGCTCCGATCCCTTGCCCACCTGTCACGAAAAGTCGACTTTGGACCACCAAATGACGAGGTGTCCCTTGCGACTGCCACGAGAAGCGACCACCCATGTCCGAAAATGCGCGCGTGCAGTCGCGACAAGCACCCTCTCCAGCCAACCGGAACCCGCAAGCCTGCGTTCAGCGACACCTCGAGAGGCGTGAGGGCACAGCGAACTAGCTGCAAACGCCCGCGCGACACCTCGATTAGACACGGGCCCTTTATAAACTTCCCGTAAGAACCCCACACTGTTTGGTGAAAAACAGAAAAAAACTACAAGCTAGAGCGACGCATCCACAAAAGAACTTGTTGGGGCCAAAGCCCTCTCAAGTTTGGCGAGAGGACCCCCACGAACTTAGGCGTTATAAAGTGTTATAAGTTCCCTCCACGAGGTTCACGGCCCACTTTCACCTCATCCGCGCCACGAATTCTGAGGACGGCACTTTCTGCGGACGTCGCGTGGAGGGCGCGTCGATGTCCCGCGCGTCGAGCTGCAGGGCACCGGCGTCCGCGGCTTGGACCTGGCAGAGTTCCAAGTGACTTGGTGGAAGGCGGGACGGAGGAGTTCGGAGGGCGAAGAAAGCGGAATGAGGGTGGCTGGATGGATCCAAAAGGAATGCATAGAGTGGGGGGCAATCGTCATAATTTGGGCTGAGTCTTTCGAAGCAAATGGTCGGATGCGCGGCTCAGAGATCAAAACCTCTCCAAACAAATGGAGTGGAAAACCAAGGGAATTGAAAACAGAACATTTATTGTAGCATGATAGTTTATACATCTCTTTTTCAAAAACTGGTGGGTGCAGATCCCCCCGACCGTGTTGGCCACCTGCGGGGAGTCAGACCCAGTATGACTGGGGACATGCCGAGCGTTAAAGCCGAATTGCGACAAAGGATGTGAAGAACAGAGATCTCATGACGGGCATATGGATTAATGATATACCAGCAGTCACAACAAAGGGGTGCTTAATGAAGGGTAGGGGTGCCCAGAACATCCACTCACTTAGGGACTAAACACCACCCCGTCTTGTGACTCCTGGTAGTCTGTTAAGGGTTTTTGCAACCGTAGGCGAGAGAGAAAGAACAGCGGTGCCAATCATGTTTCTCTCATGTTGAAGTGGGCGACGTGGATCGTAGGAACAAGAGGCCGAAATTTGGCATTGGGTACGTGGCTCAAGCTTGTGGGTGTTCGACTTCAGGTGATTGCAAGAAATTGACCTGCACGAGGCCTCCAAGGGCATAAGATGGTGGCAACACATGACCAATCATTTGGCACACTCCTCCGCCAGCCACCGCAATTCGGCACACTCCTCCAATGTGTCCTGTCTCTTTAGATCTCTTCAGGGTGCCAGCGTTAGTCCTCAAAGGTCCGGCAACATTGCGAAGCCAGCTGAAGATATCCTTATAGTAAGTACGGTTTGGTTGTAGTTCTGACCATGATATGTTTGTTCTGCATGGTTGGAGTAAATTCACTACAATATCGCTCTCCTTTTTGATGTTGGATGCTGATCCACTAGCCCCTGTGTGGAACCTCCTCGTCAAGGATGGCTCCATCCAGGTCCGTATAAATTGCATTTGTCTCAGAACAGAGTTCACCCGGAGTTCTTGACACAACATGTGGAGCCCAACACAGTGAAAAGATCCAAATGTTATGTTGTTTTCAGGTGAAGGTCCTGGGCAAGGAACAATTGGTACCTTGGCCGGACGTAGGCGCGGCGTGGGCGCGGCGTGGGCGCCTTGGCGCTCAATCACTGTGTAGGGTGAGTGGGATCACTTCTCCTGACTCCTGAGTCTCCAACAAGTGTTCAAACTTCGTCCACCATAGCAGAGACAGTAGAGGTACATGTTGATCTAAAAGATCTACGTGTAAAAACCACCGGTGATGCACACCGTGGACAGCACTTCGGCCGCCAGGGGATCCCCTCCTACGGACAAAAAACAGGTTTGCAACAGAGAGTCTAACTCAGGTGCTGATACACTTAGAGGGCAAGGTGGAACATTGGGCCAGTTCCATGGGCCAACTGCGGCTGCACTTCCCACAGACCCTTTGGCAGATCCGCTCCTCGCTGGCCGATTTGGAGTAAAGGGGGAGTGCAAGTCAGGCGAAATGGGACTGACTATGGCGCTAGTTCACAGTCACAGCAAGATCACACCAAAATAGCCTTATATGCCAGTTGGGTTCATCACCGTTTATCCAATTCTGCAGTTGGCTAGAATTCGAGGGTGAGGGTGCAGATCTGAAGCTTGAAAGGCACCTCGCAGGTGGCTCACCTTGGTCGCCCAAGCTGAGGCTTTCTACATACACCTTTGCTGGCCTGGGTGCTGCTATTTTTGGCAAGCGCCATTGCCGTGGCTTACGACAAAAGAAAGCACGGTTTCAGAAACACCGGACAATGCACCATGATTTGTATCACCTGGGCAGGAGTTTAATACGTAAAATCATGTGAAACCGGGTATCGTCCACCTTAAACTGCCGGGCATGCCTGGGAAATCTTCGGGGTAAGGACATAGGCGGATCGGGTGCTTGGCTCAGGCCGAAGGATGCCGATCTATTGGTTCATAAAGCCATCCCCGGAATCGAAGGACTGTTTCTCAAACCTGGCCCCACGCCCCACGGCCTAACCGCACGACTCACTCATTCCACGCTCCAATCCTTCCTCCAATCCTCCGTTCCGCAGTTCAGGTGGGCTTCGGAGTCACCAAGCTCTCCATCCTCCTCAGCCTCTCCTCCGCCTTCTTGCTCTCCACGATTCTGGTCTCCGCGGGGCAGAAGCAGCGGACGCCAGTGGCGCTGAAGCGACAGCAGTGGCTGAGACATGCTGAGACGGAGAGCGAGACTGGTGGTTTGGTGCGGGTGTTTAGTGGGGCCTCCTATTGTATCTAGTGTGGGTGGTATTGTGTGTTTTAGGGAGTGCAGGTTGGTATTGCATGGTATTGTGTATCTAACAACCACTAGACAATACCAACCACATACGAGTGTTTGGTCAAAAAAACAGTTCAATTGTGGGGTCTGGGAGCCACTGAACAGTCGTCGTTGGTCGTTGTGTGACACATCTCGGGGGGAAGGCGCACTCTTCAAGGCGTATGTGGCGGAAAGGTCAGCCTACTCCTGCAAAATGGTAGCGATAAGGCCAGCCAAGGTTCAGAATAGCAGAAGGTTTTGTTCATGTCAATTCTGAACCTTTGCTGGCCTTATCAAACACATGATCATGAGTTATTGTTCAGCATGTTTGTCTCTCTGGCTGAAGGTGCAGCTTGCGGTTTGATTTGCCCGTCGGTTTGGGGTTCATGATTTCTGGGCTGAACTCAAAAATTTGGCAAGGTTCCCCCGTGTACTCGAAGCTTGTCGACGAGTTGTTTTCTCTTTCCTTGCAATGGGCTGGTGGAGAAACACGATGACGGACGAGAAGATATGGGACCTATCGCATTCCTGCCCTTTGCAGTGTTCAATACTTCACTTTGAGAGCCTTGTTCTTAGCATGTCTTTTTCCCAGACAAGGTGGGCCACTGGGCACTCCCAAGGTCATGATCGTTCAGCAAAACTGCCAATGGTAGCTATATCTATAAGGGATAATCTTGGTGAAAAAGGAATGCCGAGATGATCATCCTAATACAACTTGCTCTCCCCCTCCCACCTGTCCACTCTGCCAGTTTCTAGTTGCAGGTTTGGAGGTATATATGGGGATGGGTCAATACTGGTACACCATGCAACTCGAGCTTCGTGCGATAGGTCAACCGGTCAGTCTCCTGGTGCCACCAGCCATGTGGAGGTAGACCAGGGCCAAAACGGCGAGCTATATGTTTGATCCCTAGGGATCCAGTCGTACCGAACCTCCTCAGGTTCGGTACGACTGGACCCGAACATGGCACTCAGTCCCACCGAACCTCACAGGGTACAACTGGATCCTGGATGTAAAATACCTCCAGGTGCACCTCTCACTTCAAGAGTCGGAAGGCGGGCGAACATGACGAATTCCTTTCATTGAAGGCAATTGGATGGGATTTGCGAGCCTATAGCAGGCTGGATGCCTGTTATGTTTTGCATGCTTTTTGCAGTCCAGGTTCCTGCGTCTTCACTCTCAACTGCAACCCTGCGAGAGGGGTCCCCTGCGCGCCATGAAACTGGAGAAGTCCTTTGGACGAATTCGGCGGTTCGTTCGGCGAAACGCCGGTCCTGGGGCAGGCCCTGGGGCTTGGCCATCGAGTGTGTATATATATTGTATGGCGCCATACCAACTGCGAGTGAGACAAGTTGTTTTCCAACTAGAATATCTCGTTGGCTCTTGGCTCGATTCATGTTTGCGACGGGACAAACTTGTTGGATGCACATCCCTCCCCCTACTGAAACCAGGTTTTGAAGCTGGTTTCAGTTGATCCTAGATGGGGAATCACAGAAACTTCAAGATGGTCATGTGGGTCCGTTCATTCCGATCGTGATCCATTTCATGGAAAGTACTGACCCTAGTGCTGACCCTTTCTTGCCAAAGCGGCCATGGACGACACAGCAAAGTCGGCTGCTAGTTAAGAAAGGTGACCAGCCTTTGCGGTGTCCGGAACTCCCCAAACGCATCGAAAAATGGGGTGTTGGACCGTCTTGTTAGCACCGCATGCTGTGTTGAGTTCAACGGAGGATGAAGACCTTCCACGAGTTCTTCGAGATGTTCATCCGCGATCGCTCCATGCCACTGTGAGCGGCATAGTCGGGGGCGTAGTGTGGGCAGTGCGCCCAGAATGTGAAGGGAACAAGGACAATGGTGGGACCTGTCAGCTTGTGGTGAGGGTATACTGAGGTATGTATATGCGTATCCCAATCGGATTTGCTCCACGGGCATGATGTTGTGGCGACGAGGAGCATGTAAAAGACAATTTTGGGGGACAACAGGAGGGCAGGTGTTAGGCGCTATCGATGGACAGAACATCGACAGGGCTAAGACGCTGTGAGTTGCTGCCGAGGACTTACGTGTGCGAGAACTTGGTCAAGCCGCTCACCTTCGCAGTGCAGCACTCCTTCGCGGAGCTGGTCGGCAGCACTCCAACGCCGGTGCAGTGGTTCGTGAGCCACTTTTGGGGCTCAGCGTTCCGCCACTTGCTTGTGCGTCTCCGCAAAGTGCACAAAGGTCGAACTGAAAGCTAGGCAGCGACATACGGCGACTACAATGTCTACAGTCTACAGTTGTTGTTTGTACCCTTGGAAGTGAGCCTCTAAAAACTCAGACTCAATTTTGCAGGCGGTCGTTTTTGTTTCGACTCGGCTCACACCTCACCGACAAGCGCATTCAGGACACTTCTCGGAGACCGTTCAGAAGCATGCGGCGCAAGTGGCCTTGGAGCCCGACTCTGTAGCCTACTGGGTGTGCACCTTCAGCAATAACCAGTGGGCAGTGGATGATGAGCTTGGCCACGGTGTCTTGGTGTCTTGAATTGGAGAGAGCAGGGATCAGGAATTGAAGTGAAGAACAGCACGTGTTGGCACGTGTTGGCAGCCTTACATATATATAATGGACCGTTGAAACTTCCGGCTTTTGCGCTTGGAAGCTGTCAAAGGGTTTTGGGGGAACACCACCGGCGTTGTGCACGGATCAGGGAAACCCGTGGGATCCGTCGGGATTCGTGTTCCTCCGTTGTGCTTACCTCCCCTGACACAACGGGACATAACGGGACCAAGACATCCATCATGGACGACGTCCACCAGCTTTGGCGAGGGTTGCTGTGTGTTGACCGGGCCACTGGGAAGGATGCTGCTGAGTGATTCATACACATCTTTTGTTTTTTTCTTGTCCATGCCTCCATTGGTTTCAGAAAGATCAAGGCCAGCGAGTTTGATGTTGAAGACATCAAGTCTTGGTGAAGCTCCTCACCCCCAAGGGAGCGCTGGTCCGTTCTGGAGCTTCAGGCGTTTCCTTAGGCATTGGTCCTGGAAGGCTCGGCCCAGGCCTGCCCAGGCCTGCCCAGGCCTGCCAGGCCCCACAGTTTCACCTGCCAGGCGAGGTTTGTCAGTCCTCCTTCTACCTGGCACTGCGGAGCAGGACGACCCACCGGGATCGGCTGAATGGGAGACCGTCCTTGGCGTCTCCAAAGAGCACATCCAAGCGAATCCAACCATCCATGTCCTTGGCAGGGAACCGGTTGAATCGGTAGGTCATGTGTTGATGGTTTACCAGATGTCGCCCGTATTGGTCATTGAGTGGGTGGGTAAAACACAACTGAGAAATGGCGCATGGCCATGGATGCCATAGTCCAAACGCTTGGCCATAGCTTGGGTGTCCCCAAACCTGCATTGCAAAGAATCAAGCTGTGCTGAAATCAAGATAACATGATCAATATTGATCAAGGACCCTTCATTTCACAAAGAATGTTGATCAAACAAAGAAGCACCCAATCGAGCACATCCGTCCTCTCTCCACCACTGCGCATGCCACCAGGAGCTGCCGAGGGACAGTGATGGTCATCGATGAGTTGGCCATGCCCTTGACGCGTGCGTGGCACCTGGTGGGACACCAGCACACATGTGAACCACATATATATGTTCCCATATGTTCCCTTTGTATTTCGAATCCTTGTCAGCAAAGACACCATTGGGCAAGCAGAAGTGCTCACGAGGATGTTTGATTCTCGAATTATACCTACATGTTACATGTCCCAGATCGTTTCGGATGTGTTACTGTACCTCAAAGAATCAGAAGTTCCTTTTTGAAAAGGCCAACTGCTCCACTATGCTCCGCTGGCTCCGCTCGCTTTGCCTGAGGTGTTTGTTCGAAGTGCTCCAGACGCTGCAGCTCTCGCAGAACCCAAGCTTCGAAGGCCGGAAGAGTGCGGGTTTTCCCAGTGTATTGGTGCAGGCTGTGTGGAGAATCCAAGTTGGAAGTTCGCTGGTGGCCTGGATCCACTGTTGCTAACATTTGGGAGATAGATTCTTCCAAACTCCAACCTTCAGCTCCCATCTCCGAACCTTCATCTGCCTTTCTCTTTCCCACGTGGCAGCCGCCACGTGCAGGTCTGCTGCTGTGCACGCCCTCGGGGGTCTTGCAAGATGGCCGTGCTGGGACGGACGTGGCGATGGAGGTCGCCAGGAGCGTCCGTCGTTGACACCGCGGCGGTCGGTGGTGTCCGGTCGATGGTGCGTTCTTCGATGGTCGGCTGCAAGAACGAAGAAAAGAACTAAGAGAGAACTCAGAGAAAAGGACGCAGATTTTGTTGTTTTCAATTTGAGTTCTGTTGAATGGCTTATATTTGGTTTTATTTGGTATAGTTGATCCTTGTGGATGGAACCAGTTGGAGCCGTGTGGGTTGCCACACTCGATCAGAGATGTTTCTTGGCTAAACTGTGGCTGGACTCCAAGGCTCAGTTCAGCAGTTTCCCTTTGCTGATGGCTCACTTCCATGAACCACCATCAACATCCATCAACCTACCGCTGACGGACTAACTCCTGAACTTGCGGACTCTGAGACAAGCAGGATCTAAGAGAGAGGCTGAGACGGGGGGGCTTCCTAGAGGAGGGTTCCACCTGCGATTGGAGGTGCTGCAAGATGTCTCCAAATCTAGACTGGCCTGATCTGGTCGGCAGGAAGTTGTCCCAGCTGGACTTGAGGGATGCAGAGGCGACCTCGCAAAAGGAGCCACGGGCTCGCCAGCCGCCAGCCGGAGTGAGCCGGGTGAAGTCGGTTGGAATTGAATTGCTTGCGCCTGGACTGGTGTGCTTGGGAGTGTGTGGTTTCCCCGAACAAGGACGGACGAATCGACCTGCTTGACCTGCTTGACCTGCATGGTGGAATGGGGTGCGCAGCTTTGAGCTCGCCAGGCCCTCCGAGAAAACCAATAAACAAGGTCCTGGAAAGTCCAGCTTCCCAGGAGTCTTCCCAGCTCAGCCTCGGTGTTGTAACCGATCCTTAGGACAGATCCGACCTACCGCCGAAGTATACGGTAAAGAGACTATCTAGGTGATGGTTTCGGATATGTGTATTTTCAACCCTTACTTGGGGATGATTGGACCCTCTGACTAATATTGCTCAAGTGGGTTGAAAACACCAAGCAGCTGTTCTTGTTGGCAAGCCTCCTGCGAAGCCCTGCCCTTGGAAGGAAAAACTCCAGCACCATTTGGTTCGGAGAGAGCATCAGCACATCCCGCAACTCACATCAAATTATATATTCACTAAGTGTATGCTGCTGTATGCTATGCTATAGGCCCTATGGCCCTCAAAGATCATGCTAGCTGCTCTGACTTGTGCGTCCGATCCTTCGCTTTGGGCGCTGCAAACGGGTTTCGCCTCCGCAAGCTCCGCTCGTTTCGCGACGTGAACGGTTCTCGGCGTCAGGACAAGGAGCTGATCGAGTCGGAGGTCCTGCGAACTGTGGGAGGCCGGTGCTCCGGAGCTCCGGTGCTGTGGAGGTTTCATGGGCGGTGCGTCCGACATCGGGAAGGGTGATGAGAGTGGTGATTCTGTTTAAGGCATTGGGTAGAATGACACGTTGATTTGACGGTATTTCATGGCATTTGTGACCATTTGTGTGATAGATCTTTCCACTCGAGGTCATATTTGGATCCTGTTTTCAGGAATTCCAAGCAGGATATCGTCTCTTGTGGAAAGAGTTGCCGTTGCCCCCCAAAAAAGAATCGCTTTCATTCCAAGTCTTTCTTTCTTGTTTACTCCTGCTCCTTTGCAGACTACTGCAATGCCGGTGTCGACTCGGCAGGAAACTGTTGAAATGGTTGGGCAAATCCATCGTCACCCCAGTTTGTGATTACTATGGTGGATCTCAAGCGATGAGATGGGTCTCAGGCGATGTAATCTAGAGATGATTGAGATGGAGGGCCTCCGGATGATTTGGGTTACCCGGCTCAAGGCTTTGAGGAGATTAACCGCTTCGTGCGTGGGTCCATCCGCAACTCCTTGCGACTCGGTGATACGATTCGAAAGACGCCGTGACGCACTCATGCTGTTTTTGAACACCGTGTGCAGTCGAGTCTTTTGAACTGAGAGTTTACCGACGTCGACCTTGTTGATGGGTTGCCCATCACCGAACCCATAAGCGACATAAAGATTCGGACCTTCTTAGAGCCCTGCGGCAGAAAGCGGCTGGGTATACAGGGCGAGTGGCCGCACCGGCCACTGGCCAAGTGGGCCACCGGCCACTCGAGGCTTTCGATGCACATGCACTTCGAGACCGAGTTCCAAGAGCTACTGCGGACACTGTCATCATGCCTGCCTGAAGATCAAGAGATGCTGGGAGAAGCAGATCAACGCTGAACGTGGGAGGTTGCTTTTTGGGGCGTGTATGACGAATCTATGATTTCTTTCTGCTGGATCGTTTCTTGGGACTCCTAGGGTTCGGGCACTCCCGTGTTCACGTATTTGGATCAAGTGTCCCCATCCGCTTTAGATACAGATCCAGTACTGTTCAATGAACAGCTCCTGATGGCTGAGGAATACTGTGCTCATGCGGGCCAAGACCTTTCATTAGCGCCGCGTGGTGGCTCATGGCCCTGCTGCCGTAGTGAAAGATACTGAATCATGGACCGTCAGCAGGGCTCCCGGATCTCCTTCCAGGTGTCGTTGGCTCTTGAAATCTGCACAGTGTGGTCTTGCAACCTTCGACTTGCACAGAGTGTACAGTGTACAGTGTACAGTGTAGAAAGTGGCCAGCTAGGAAGCCCATGCTCGCAGAGATGTTCTTTGAACGCTGCAGGGTTTGCGTGGGTTTGACCCAAAGTTTTGGAGTAGACTCCTGACCAATCAACAATCGACATAGATCACATGGAAGTTGGCCATTGTTGGGCCACTTCCCACCATTTGTGAGGACTTGTGCTTGGGGGTCCACTCTGGTTTTAGTCACGCCCTGCATCTACCCCCTCCACCAGTGGATGAAGAAGATTAAACAGTTTGCCATACACAGAGGGTCTTGGAATGTCACCTCTGGGTGGGGGACAGATGCAAGAAAAGCCTCACACGAGTGCTGTGCGCGCTCTTTTTTTGTTTTTTGGGCGAGTTCAGCCATGTGACCATGTGCGAGTTCGTTTGTGGGAACACTGACCTGGGGCCCTATTGTTCAATCATGGGTGGATCGTTCATTGGACGTTGATCTGATTGAAGTGATTGCATTCCAGACTGATTAGACGGTTTTTTCCATGTTGTTTCATGCAATCATTGGGAATCCCCAGACGAACACCCCCGTTCGTCGATCGGTTGGAGCTCGCCGTCGGTGTCCGTGTCCTGTTCTCGCAGCACATCAACGCGCGCGACCCAGCAGCACTCCCTCGGCTGCCCCCGCGGTACTCTGGGGGACCAGGAGCAGGTGGTGTGAGAAAAAGGTGCTTCCGATGGATGACGGGCCTGACACACAAAAAGGTCGGAGGAAGACTCCAATCGGTCCCACAGTCCTGAGAAAAGGCCTCCGGGGGTCTGTTTCCCTTCTGACCAGTGGGATTTTTCAGTGGGAACCTGGAAGGACTACCGCATGCTTGGGCTGGATCGGTCGAGACGGCTGTGCAGCGTGTGTGGCTTCTGGCTCCGACCTCGGGCCACCTAGAACATCCTTGTGCTACGGCATAATGATCTCTTTTGCTTTTAAGCAAACCTCCAACTGCCCACCGGCGCACCCACAGCGTCGTTGCAGGTAGCCCTGCAGGGGCCAGCCTCCCGCCGTGGTCTGATGGATTTGCCAAAATGGCGGTCCAAAGATGAAAAGGTGTGGGCACTGTGGAGCATGTTTGGGGTATCAAAACCGCGCCCCCAACGACTGCTGCATGTTTCATATACAATCAGTATCTGGGAAGTGTGCTGTGAATGGCAGTGTTTGGGAAGTGTGCAGGTGTGGCACAATTGCAGTTCCTCAACAGAGGACAAAAAAACATGTCAACACAGAGGGCTCACTTATAAACTCAACTATAAGCATACCAAAGCTATTTTAAACTGCTTTTGGGCGTGAATTTGCCATTTTGATTTGGATCCATAGTTTGTTTATCATTCGAGCACGGGCATAACGCATCATCATGCACCGCCTTTGGCATTTGAGGCTGGGTCGATTCCCAGCAGCTCCTAAGAATCTGGCCTTGAATTCCTATGAGAGGTCTCTACTTTCACGCAGCCATGACATGTGCATGGGTGGGCTAATCCAAAGCCACCGATTGGTCCAATTGGTCATGTGTGTTTTTTAGACCAACCGCGACGTGGGCGTCGAGGCTTTGTGCTCTTGTGGTAAGTTCTTTTTTTCCCTGAGTATGGGGACGTGATGGCAAGTGTAAAGAGATCCTGTTTTAGGCAGAGTCAGTGCATTCCTGTTGGGAAGGATGCACCCAACCCACCCACCTTTGGGTCACCATTCCTTTCGTTCAGAATTACTATTTTCGACATGGACCCTGACGTCCTGGCTGGGCAGATGGTTTTTCCTCTACAAATCAGTGGTTTGGGGGGCCCATGTGGTCCATTTGCAGGGGTGTAGAGACTTTCCACCACAAGAACCGCCAAAATAGATACTGTAATTCTGGGTGGCTCGCCTTTAGCCCTGCTAAACTCCTTGAGAAGGCGATGGAAAAAAAATTCTGGGTGGCTTTGCGATCATGTCATTGCTTCGCTTTTGGCTCGACAGCGGCCCAAGTGTGCTTGTTTACATGGCAGTGGGCACATGCGGATGCGATACCTGTAGAAGTCCCTTTGTAGAAGCCATGTGAAACATCGTTGAAGTGGGTCGCGCTTGTCTTTTATTACAAGAACGGCTAAAATATGGCAGCGGACCATCCCTGAGCAAACATGTTTTCTTGTGAGAGTTTGGAAGACGTCAAAGATCTTTGGCAAAGGACACGCGAAGACCAACAGCAGCAACGGAACCTCAGAAGACCTGACTATCTCACCCGAAGTTGAACTCTAGCGTGGTTTGTTCTCAACCGCCTTGGGTTTTTATCCAGCCCAATTCTTGGATTGCACGTCAGTGCCTTCACTTTTGAAGCACATCTTCAAAAAGACACCTTCATCGGCAACAGCCCCACAAAGACTCATGTTAAATTGGCCTTTCCTCCCACGACAAAACCACCAGACCACCTCCGCCGCTCCGCCGGGAGCCGAGCGGACGCTCCGTCGACATGCCGGACTCGGACAACTTCTCTTTGAGTGGTTTGCTGGATGAGCTGGAGCAGGAGTTGGAAGCCAAGGAGTCGGAGAAGGACAAGGCCGGTATGCCGCTGACTGGCAGCTGACTCCTTCGGTGTGTTTCTTCGGAAGAAGTTGCTCAAGCCATGACTGATCAAGGCCACTTAAGCATATGAAGCCTTGGTACAGCCTAAGTTTCAGTCTCCGCCTGAGGTTAGAGGCCCCAACACCCTTGACCAAATGTTTAGAAGCTGGACTGGCTCACGAGCCCTTGTGTGAGGCTTTTCTTACGGTTGGCCAGCGGCTTGGACATGTAAAGTCTATGTGACGTCCGAACTTCATCGTGCTGTCACACAAGAGAGGTCCTTTCGCCTGCAACACCCATCCCCAACACATGCCAAGTCGACTCCACAGTCGACCCGGCCAACACCAGACACGGTGAAATCCACCGCCGGGAGGCGAAGGTGAACGAGAAGCCCGAGAAGGTGGACGAAGCCAAGGAGGACCGGGGCTGCCAGGAGAAGCTGGTGAGAGGGTTCAGAGGTGGTCATGATGGAAACAAGGGAACCAAATATCCACACCAAGCAATGGACATGTGTTTTTTGGTGCCAACTTTGAAGAATGAAGATTCATTCTGATTGCCGTTGAGTCATGAGTGACAGAGGTTTGGTTCTAAAGAGCTTTTTGGCATTGACCTTTGGATGAGAGCGTGCTCATGGACACTTGAGTGCAACAAGTCTTGGTTGCCACCAGGGGCTTCAACCTCTTTCTACACAAGAACCAGGACGAGGTTCAAACTCCTTGGCCAGAGGACTGGAATGGCCTTTTGCAGGGCTTGGAGCCCAAAGAGCACCAGCCCGCAGGCGCTTTTGCAGGGGTTCGTCGCTGGGTGGAGACGTTGGGGGGAGGGGTTTTCTTGGGGCTGGTGGACCTTTAAGCGTTTTCTCCACTTGCAGGATGGAATCTTAGGACTTGAGCCACACAAACGGAACGCCGAAGATGTGGAGGATTGGGAAACCTCGTCGTGTTCAGGATCGGCCTTTGTGCCCCAAAAACGGTTCTTCTAAGGTACACTGATGCAAAAGCCTGGTGCCAAGTAAGTGGGTTCTTCATGATGGAGTTCACCGATGTTGATTGAAGAAAACCTGGTGTTTTAAAACCATTCTGGTAGGGGGGTTATGAATCAACAGTTCTTCCCTTTTCTCGGTTTCATCACGCACTGCACTGCAGAACTGAGACCCTCAGACGAGCACGCGTCGCTCACACCACCGCAGGAGATTCCACGCGCGCGGCCTCTTCCGGCACCGCGCAGCAGCCCAGTGCGGGCACCATTCAGCGGAAGTTCTCCTCGGATCGAAGACCCAGCGAGCGCATTCAGAACGAGTCTTGGGGAAGCTGGGGAAGCGGGGGTGTTCACTTGTGGCAATCGCAAGAAGAAAGAGCTATGGGAAGGCGAGGGAAGGTAGATGAAAACCAGTATGAAAACCCTATAGCAGTTCGAAAGGGCTAGGCGGCTAGACCATAGAAACGGAACTTTGCATCAAGTGTTGGTTAGTCCCCCTGATGAGTTTGGCTTTTGCTTTGCAAGTGAAGATCTCCGAACCTTCAGGATCCACGGGCGCCCATCCTGGGCTCTCCCGGCCCCCAAGGATCAGCCGGCCCTCCCGGTGGAGCGCCCGTGGCGTCCCACCGGAGCCAAGTCGTCCACGGCGGCGGGCGTGAGCTTGGCAGTGGATGCCAACACGGCCTGCCGGAAGTACATGGAGGACAGCCGGTGGAGGCTGGTGGTGCGTCAAGTCCGGCACCCTTTTACACAAGCTTACTGTTAATGTCCCTTGGTTATGCCTGGATTCATGGCTTGTTTGACTCCTCACAGGCCCTAAAGTGGAGTGTATCTTCCATAGTAAAAACAAACATAACAGACCCCTGATCACTCTCTAGAAGACGTCCGGCTCCAGCAAGACTCCTCTCCACCTAACTCTCCCAGTGGGGCCGGGCGCTCCAGGATGGTTCCAAAATCCTGGACCCCTTCGACGCTTTAGCGGGCGCCAGTCCGGGCGCCAGTGGCGGCACCTGGGGCTTCTTCGCGGTCTATGATGGCCACGGCGGCCGGGAGGCCGTGGAGTACTGCACCTCGCAGAATCGACTCCGAAGCCGATGGTGGAGATGTGATGAAGGTGGAAGATCGTGGAAGGAGGACCTCAAAAAGGCTCAAAGGTGAGAAGGACTTCCAAAGACGTTGTCCTAGTACTTGTCCTAGGTTAAGGAGTTGGAAAACCTTGGGTCTTGTGGTTGAGTCATGTGTGCGAGGGAGATTGTTTCCCCACGGGCGAGGGTTGTTTAAATAGAGCGATTGGTGTTGACGTGCCCGGGCTCCAGTCCCAGTCCCTTGCACCTTTGAAGTCTTTTTTGCGCTTTCGTGACATTGAGATGGACTCCCCACCAAACCTCACCAGTCATACGTTTCATCCAGTTTCATACCGGAACGATAGACGGGCACGGCTGCGTCGCCTCACGGCCGCCTGAGCACGGCCTCGGCTGCCGTCGCTCAGGCGAACTGCGGCTCCATGAGCAGGCGACGCTTGGGCCCGGGGGCACCGGGAGATGCGGCTCCGATGGTGTGTTGCTTAAAAAAAGTCCTTTTTTTTGCTCAAAAAAGGTCTTTTTTGGGGTGAGGAGAGTCAATTCATGTGTGGAAATCAGGGTTGCTTGGAGGAACTCTTGGAACATCAGTTTGGCAAATGTAAATCTATAGATCGAGATAATGGATAATCAAGCCATTGGATGGTAAAGATCAGACTGGGAGATCAGATTGGTTCGGAGGAAGATATCAGAGTTCCTAGGTGCCCGCCTCGCGCACAGGTGGCGCAGGAGATGAAAACGCTGGGGCCTCATGAGGCCTTGAAGGCGACCTTTCAGTGCCTCGGTCGGTCAGTTCAAGGGGTCGGCAGCCTGAGGCGACGGCGTGGGCGTGTTTGGGGCTCGGAGGTGGGCTCGGAAGAGCTACTGCGCGCGAGCTTTGTGGATGGAACCACCTGGCATGTTGGTTTCAAGACAGATCATGACGGGCCGCCCCCTCGCATCGTTTGTTTGTGAATCCCGAAGTGTGAGCAGTGGTGGAGGCGTTGTTCTTCCAATATTGCTCCAATTCGATAGTTTGGCTCTGAATTTGGGCTCGCAGTTCGATTGTGGGAGATTCTAGCTCCTCACTAAGTGGAAAGTAACTCTGTTAGTCGACCTCACCCATATTTACACCTGGTAGCACCACCCAATGAGTCCCTTCCCGCGTAGGAATACGACTCGTGCGACTCGTAGGGAATACGGAAAGCTTCGCTCACAGAGATGCCTTTGGATCCAGCCACCCTCAGCCACCCTACTAAGCATAAGCACCACCCCAGACGAGCTCCTTCCGCGTGAAATCAGGAAGATCGACAGCCAGCTGGGCATGTACGGCGCCTGGAACCACGGCACCACCGCCACCGTGGCGCTGCTTTGCCGCCGCGAGGGCACGCGCGAGGGTGAGCTGTATGTGGCGCATGTGGGCGATTCGCGAGCTGTGCTCATCCCAAAGGCTGGGCCAAAGCAGGGCGCAGCTGGAGCTGAGGGGGTTGGGACTGTGTGACATGGGCTTATAGGCTGCAGGGCTCGGCTTCAAAGGACGCTGAAGGGCTGAAAATGGGGCTCCAGATAATAGGTGAATAGCAGCACCGCTTTGTTCCGACACATTGTCTTGTGACCTTTGCATCGTTTTGCGTCTTTTTCCAGTCGTCCACAGAGATGGTTGCACGATGTTCTGGTGGAGGCTTTCCTTTTCTATACTTGCTTATGGCTTATGTACTGAAGGCTTGAAGGTGTCCAAGCACCACTTTCGGTATACCCAGTAGAGAATCCACCATTCAAGGTCAGGATTTCCTTTCCAACCACTGGTGAGATGGCAATCTCTCACTTCAACCATCTCAGTATGTCAATGTTTTCTTTCGTTTCTTGCAATTGCTCCATTCACTTCGTTTTCCCAGTCTCTCTTCCTCCCAGCTCCCACCTCCTCGGTCAAACCGCAGGTGGACAGCTGCCGCTCCCTGACGCGCGACCACCGCCCAAGCGACCCATTGGAGGCGGAGCGCGTGCGCGCCGAGGGCGGCCGCGTGACCGAGGGCCGCGTGGGCGGCGACTTGGCCATCAGCCGGTCGCTGGGCGATCATCGCTTGCCCCTCGGAGCGAGGGTATGCGGAGGGGCTGTGGAGGGTATGATGATGTCGGGAATATGCAGGCGGAGGCGGATTTGGGGGGAGGAATGATGGAATGATGCGATAGTGGGAAGGCTGTGGGGAGAGATCGGTGTGTGTGTGTGTTGTGGATGTGGTGGATATGGTGAGTGGTGAGTTTGTGATAGAGGAAACTGTAGCGGTCCAGTTGGCTGACCCCCGTGTAATCAGCTGAGCTACCATGAACCAACCACTTCCAACAGTTGTCGTTCTTTTGACAGGCTGGGGATTCAGCTTTGGTTTTTAGCTGTCCTACAACTCTGCCCAGGCTCGGCGCATACGTAGGCCATAGGTTTGTTCCAGCTTTAAACCATGGAAACATTTCAATACGTTCTCTCAAAAAGCTATTTTTCATCCAGATTGCCCACATTGTGGCTGCAATCTGATGGTGGCTTCACTGGTGGAAAAGGGGCCCCGACCACATATAGTCACTCGTCACCATTGAAAAAGATCTTCCAGCGCCCCAATGGCGGTCTGCGAGACGTCTCGCACGCTTCGACCAAGGAAGGGGAAAGGTGTGAGCCCAATGCCAGAGGTGACCAGTGACTTGGACTCCATCGGGGGTGGATCTTCGGTCACTTGAGGTAGATCACCTCACCAACCTCACCAAGTGTCTAATTAAGTGGTTTGAGGTCAGGCACGGAGCTTCTTGCAAGAACTTGGCAAGTGCAGCCTCCATCAATGAGTAATTTGGGTATCTGTGAGTTGTTGGGACTTAGGGTTGGGAATTAGTTGGCAATGTAGCTGTGACATGGCAGTCCAAGCGACTGATCTGTCCGGTATGGAGATTTGATCCCTCACCGCTATATGGATTGAACATTGAATCCAGCAGATCTCTCACTTACCCGCTACCCAAGAGGATTGGACCATTTTGGACCTGTTGAAGATCGATCAGGATCTCCCCTCTTCGCACCCACCGTCCTCGTCACATGGCCAGGTATGAAGATCGCCGACGGCCAGGCCAGCGCAGGGGGATCGGTCGTTCTTGGGGGGGCCGAACAGAAGCACTTCACAGCCCCTGGCTGCAATGACTGAGCGGGGCGTGGGCGTGGCTTCTTGGACGCTGTGACGCTGTGTGACGCAGCGGTGCATGTTTTGCACCAGTCCGACTGGCAAAACATGAGAACGACGCAGAACGACGGGTTGAGACGATGTTTCGGTGCAGGTCTTGATTTTGGCCACGGATGGTCTATGGGACGTGGTCACTGAAGAGTTGGCTTGTGCCTTGCTGGAGAAGTCCATCAAGGAAGCCACAGGCGAAACCTCGCGGTCGAATCCTCGGTTTCGTGGCGGTCGACTCCGGGTTGCTTGGAGCTGGTCCTTTTGTTGTTGGAGTTATAGGTGTGTTTCTTTGGATTGGTCTATATAGGTCTAGAGATGTCTAGGGTCTAGGGTTTGGTCATGTTGCAGTTTCCAAGGTTTAGTGGGAAAAGATGTGGATTTCAGTGCACGTCACACGAAGCCGTGGCCGCCCCTGCAGTGGTGAAGGGGTATAAGCTTTAAGGCAAGAGTTCTTGCGTATCGTTACGGCGTCAAACATGAACCAAGATGGAAGGAGATCTGTCAATTGTTTTCGCTCCTGTTAGTCCCTGCGGGGAGAGGGAGATGGACCTTCCATTACGTTCCGAACTCTCTCCCGGCCGGAACGCGCATGTGTTCTGCTCTCCCGGTCAGAACGGCTGGCACAGTGGAAGAATGCTGTGATGGCCTCGCGCCCGCTTGTTGGTGATGTTCGATGTCAACATAAAGTTGACCTGAACGCCTGCTGAAATTGAACAACTGCATAACTATCAGCATAACTATCAGCAGTTGAACGCCTGGTCATCTTGGATAGTACATTGAACGCCTGCTTGGATGAACTTCAGCATAACTATCCAAGATGACCTGATATGACCTGTTTGACCACCCAATCGATGCGTTTCCACCGTCGTCCGAAGAGATGGAAAAAAGCACCACATCCGGGGGTATTGTGGGGGTTTCTCAAACAGAATTCACGGTGGGGTACGACCAAAATGAGCCGAATGAGCCGTGGGGGTGTTGTTTTGGGATGGTTTTTGTTGAAGCCCTGGGGTAGTTATGGTGGTACCCCAACAGCTTTTCTCAGTGCCTCTCCGGTGGGTCCCAGCGTCGTTCCGGTGCAGGCGGCGGGTCTGCAAATCCCAAGGAGGTGCTGGAACGACTGGAGCGAGTCTGTGCTCAGCAGTTGGTGGATGAAGCCATCCGGTCACTTGGTGAAGAGAAAGCAGAAGGTTTGTCAAGAGAAACTGCCCCTTCAAGCAGAGTTCTGATTTCTCCTGTTCCTTGTTCAACCAGGTTGGTTGGTCGGCTTTTATGTCAGGATGTTGAGGGATATTTACTGTATACTTATATATACATTGTAGTACATTGCCACTTGCAGAGGATTGTTCGACCAGCTGTTGCAATCCACACGGTCCACATGTGCCTTCCACGTTACACATCCAGGCTGGGATCGCGGGACAACGTCCTTGCCCTGTGCATCTTCCTCTGACACAGCGATGATTTGCCAACCCCCCAGCGAAGCCAGTCGTTTGGTTCGGCTGTTTAATGCAGTAGATGTTGAAAACAGAAGAGGCTTCAGAGGTTGGTGACAGGATGTTGGATGATTTTTAGAAGATGACGACGATGATGATCATGGATGATTTCTGATCTACTTTGATGATGTTTGGTTGCAACCTGCCAAGAGCTTGGCACTGGTGGAAGTAGCCCGAAGAAGACAAGTGCTATCAAGTGCTATTTGCCATCCCCGAACGTGACCTCTACTGCTTCTACTGCTTTGGACCGAAGACCCAACACAGTGTTCATGGGATTCATGGAAGTAAGGGACACCTTGGCATCCCGATCTAAGTGAATACCCCAAGTAAGTGAATCCAAATCCACGACGTGGTTTGAGCTGGCCTTGGAACTTCTGCACTCAATGCCTCGTAACCTTTTGGTGTGTTTACTCATCCATACCTTTCCTGCCGAGCCAATCTGACTGGAATGGGCCACCAGTGCTGCCAGTGATGCACGCGGTCCAGTGCCGGTCCACGCGACACTGGAAGCGGCTCGGAGAAGCTTAGACAACTTGTCTTATGCGTTCCGCGACCAGGTGTTCCAGTCTTGCGGTTCCAGGTGTTCTCACTTCTCAGATAACAGACTTGGGACAGGTGTGCATACCATGAGCTCGCCAGGCTGTGTGCTTTTTTAGTGTGGAAGAGATACTGGGCCATTGGCCTCCTAGGGGCATGATTCATGATGCCTTCCAATGCTTCCAGGGTGAACCGAGAGAAAAGACTTGCCTGAAAGGATCCATAGGATGTTGCAGCTCTCTTCAGCCACGTCACGAGGCTGGCGTGTGGCAATCATTTGTTGGGTTTCTGGGTTCAATGCAAAAATGCAAAAATAAGCTAAGCCTGAAGATACAGGGCTTGTGTCTACAATATCCATGGTGGATCTCCAGGCAAAAAGAATGGATCTGCACCGAGGGTTGATGGAGAGCTTCTCCTGCAGCACTTGAGGACACCCTTGAGGAAGTCCTTTGAAAAGGATTGAGCTTTTCGCAAGTTCTGTAAAACATAATAGAAAGTTCAGTCCTTAAACAGTTCAATCCATATAGGAACTTCTGGATTGAAACCTTGCGGTCTTCAGTCGCTTTTGGACGTTCCATAAAACGATGATCAATCCACGGGGGTTCACGCTTGAGTTATAGCTTGTCAGCGCCTTGGCAACCTGACGAGGCATCAGGTTGAGTCATAGCCAAAGGCGTAGGTTTCCATTAACCTGTGGGCCAACCACGTAACATGTGTTTGACTAAATATAGTTTGCCACCGCTTGGGGGGGCTAGAGGCCTTGCTCTTGACCATCGTTTCATGAAATCCAAATTGGTTCCTGAGGGCCCACGGAGTCCTTCCGGTGCTGAAGGAGAGGGTCTTCATCCACCGTCCGTTGGTGGCAAAGCCACCCCGTTTGATCTCGTCTCACGTTTTCGACACGGGTTCCTCCAAACGCGCGGATGCCCCAAAAAGTGCGAAGCTGGCTAGCCAATAGATTCAGGTTGTGACTTTGGGTCGTAGCCCTGCTTTTTCCTACATATGTGAGAGTTATTGACCAGAACACCTTGCAACCATGATTGTAAGAATCTCACCAAAGTGGGAGTTATTGACCAAAGAACGCTTAACCATGCTTAACCGTGGAGGCTCTTATAACCACTGCTTTGGTCTTCGGAAAGTTGCCCATGATCGTCCATTGTTGGAATTCCATTAGTGAACCGGGGCTGGTTTGCTGGTCTTGGTTGATGAAGGCATCGATGCTTGCCTTTTTTTCGAGTCTATTTTCAATATTGAGTACTGTTGTCAGACACGATCAACTGGTCTGGAGTCCAACCAAAACGCATACAGTAATGAAGCAATTGATAAATAAAGTATATTATGTGTATATATGATGATGTATATTGACTGATCAATCGCACCAGAAGACTCCAGCATGTGCCAGTGGCGGCAACGCACCTCCCCCTACGCACAAAAGTCTTAGACAGGCGATCTTGTTTTGAGAGGCAGAAACAGGTCGAAGCTAAAAGTCCTTCGTATACATGGGAGTAACGAAGATTTGCGGCTGAGCACGTCCATGATTCGACAACAGAGTTGCCCAAACGAATCTTCTTCCAAGATGCTTTACCTTTTGTGACTTTTGTGCCTCGCCGTCTCATCACACCACCACTCCGCCGCCCAATCGGCTCAGTGGCGGGAACCGCCAAGACACAGCCCTCCATTCGCCATGAACTTTGTCCGGAATTTGTTGACTCGAAGCTCCAAATGTATGGAGAACCAGGCGGAGCCAATGAACTGGAGAAGGGGAGACGTTGGAGGCGGAGCCAATGGCTCCGGCCGGGCAACTCCGGCGGAAGCTGGACTAGGAAGTAGGGCCTGAGCGGGTTCTGCTGGTCTAGCGAGTATTGGGTTGGCGAAAGGCTTGCCACCCTCCCTTTGGCAGGCCAGAGGTGTAGGTCATTCAGCTGCAAAAGCTCTGAAAGAAGGAGTTTTTGGAATGACCGCCTCGCGGTCTCAATGGCAGTCAAGCGATCAATTTGACAAGACTGATCTATATTATATCAGACCACACAGATCCGATGGAAAACGTGCAGCACATGCTGCCCATCTCATCTGGCTCTATCACCAAGCATCCCTCCTTTGTTGCCACATCTCTACCACAATCGGAAAGGCTTCTCTCAGCAACTTGGAACCACGTTCCTCCTTTGTGTAGCCTTGATCCGTACATATCCGTTAACCATCCAGGAAGTAGTAGCCTGAAGTGCCAAAGACGTCAATCAATGAGCTTTAGTGCCTTTTGGTAGACAACTGAACTGTTCTCCGGTTTGATCCTTCTTTCCTCACACGCGGCAGGAAACTGAAGAAGAAGGCCGAGCGAGCTATATTAGGACTCTCGGCGCGCATAGAGGTCTTTGGATGCCAGAGGTCGGATTCCTTGAAGTTGAACATGTTCCGTTGAAACGAGTGTTGAAAGATGTTGAAACCAGTTTAGCCAATGTAAAAGCTGGCAGACTTGCGCTGTTTCTTCACGCGCCACGATGAGAACTGGGGTGGATTACGGGGGCTTGCTGCAGCCAAACATGATGGTTTCTATGTCCCTCGAGATTGAACCCCCAAAAATGGCATCTCAAATTTCAAGTATAATCAATGAAGATTGTTCACTCTGAATGTTGAAGAACATCGGTAAAATGGCTCACTTCGCATGTTTGGTGAAGATTTGGTCCTATCCTCCATCCATCTCCATCCACAGCCCCCCCAGGATGGAAGTGAAAAATGGATCTTTAGATATCTTTAGACAGATCATTGATGATCATTGATCTTTGTTCGTCCTTCCACCACTTCACGCTTCCACCTTTTGAGCCTCACCTGAGGCCTAGCACCACCCGCAGCAGCACCAAGAGTTCTCGGGGCTCACCGGCTTCACCGGAGCGGGTTGACGCCCTGCGACGCCGTGGGACGACGCCGTGGGAGGGGGCTTCGTTAACGAAGCCCCCAGTGGGCTAAATCGGAGTGGACACGACTCCGATGGGAGTGGACGAATGACCAAACCACGACCCAGTAGGCTTTTGTCAATGTCTGGAGTGGACTTTGTTGGGCACGCGTGCCGATGTTTGGGCCATATGGTGCCCTAAAGTGGGCAAAGTGGGCGGAGCCCAAAAGGGGTAGGTATAAGAATCCAAAGGGTTCTGTGAAGATGTGCCTTTCCAAGGGTTCTGAGAGCAAATCAAGTGCTAGACTCTGCGAGTGACTCTCCTGGCGATCTTTTGCGATGTCCTGCAATGTTCCTTTGTTCCATCTTGTTACTTATTGTCTCTACTAGCTTCTTGTTCCTAGTAGTAAGGCCAGGAGCCCCTAGTACGTAGCGTCCGAACGCTCCGTTCGTAGCGAGGTCATTGTCTCCCCGTTCGGTTCGCGTCCGGGTCCCCCGCGCACATACGCGGGCGGCGCGCCCGTGAAAAGGACCAGAGACGTGACGGGCCCAATTCGTACTCGTTGGGTTTTTTGGAGTTAGCTGCACATGAGTTGCCTATCAGCCATGGATAGTGAATGTTTGCCATGTGGGATTCGAGATATGTCGAGATGATCTCACTATCTAACTTTTCTTAATTTATGTGCAGGTGGGGCAATACTTCGTAGGGGTGGCTGGCCCACTATGTTTTTTTTCTTTTGCGCGCAGGAGTCCAAGCCTCCTCCATTGTTTGGAGTTCTTAGATGCGCCTTGGTAATTCACAGCCCGCAGACAAGAGGCCTGTAGCTTTGAGACACCTCTTTCTGATCTGACATCCGTTGCGATGAGGCATCTAGTGAGGCATCTCATTGGCTTCGTGACATGTGGCGGTTGTGAGGTTGATTCAGAAATCCATCATCATACTCCCGGGCAGGCATCATTACTCACTGGACAGTAGCAAAAGGGTGATGTTAGTCCAGAGACATCCTGACAAAATCTGACAAAGATTGCCCTAGAAGTTGAATCACCATGTATTTAATAGCCATGACATTACTGATTAATCATTGTTATATACAAACCAGATCAGCCATGTTTAACAATGACTTCCAGGACTGATCCCGCATGGCCGTGTATTATGGTGAACGAGTTGGCAGTGCCACTTCTTGCTCGTTTTCTGCTCAAATCTGCTGGAGCCAACCTTCGGTTCTGTTGGAAAATCCCATCTCTACCACTGGGGCCCTGGAAAGCGGAGGGTCCATCCCCAGACATCCCAAAAAACCGACCGGGCGGATCACAGTTGGTCTTCTTCGTTTCCGAAGGAGGCGCTTAGAGGCGCTTAGAGGCGCTACGCGCTTCTTTCCGACGTCGTCAGCTGGGCGATTCGTGCTGAGGCAATTCGGGGAACTCATCCACAGCAACTTGGGCTGAGCTTAAAAAGACTCCGCTGGGAGATTCGTGTAGAGCAGCCACCTTTTGCCATCGGTCTTTCGATGGTGGTTGCCATCGGCAACTGGCTCAATGGGGGAGTTCAATTGGAAGGGGACGCATTCACATGGAAGTTTGGACTGTCCTGCTGATGAAATTGACAACTTGAAAACAGTCAACTCCAGACTCCAGTGCCTTCTTTAATTTCACCCCTGCCCTGATGCATCAAGAAGCAAAACCCTGACAGCTAACAGGATGTGATGTTGTGAATATTTATCCTTTCTATTGGCAGCCATCCATGAGGGTCGTATGGGAGTTGAACTCCCCACGTGACACACATCCACTTGGGAAGCTTCCCAGCGACACCGCAATGCTCACCGCAATGCCGGTGAGTTGCTCGGGAAGTATCGCAGCCCCTCGAGCCTGTCGTACCAAACAGTATCACATAGAATCTTCCGTCAGAGTGTCCCAGTAGCACGGCTGAACGAGCAAGACTCTGCAGAGAGAGAGAGAGAAACAAAAATGACCTGTCTCAACAACATACCGAATCAACGTATCATCGGGGATTTGAGAATGATTTAAAAAGCAATGTGGAAGCTTTTCCCAACTCGAAGCACCCCAGGCAGAGCCCTCGAGTGAGAGCGAGGATGAAGCATTGCACCTCTACGGCCGCTTGGGTCGGCAGGTGCTGAGAATGGGATGCAAAAGTGAGCAGATGTTAAGTGACGGTAGCCCATTCCAGTGTGTGTGTGTGTTGTGGTACACCAGACAGTAGAGACATGAGGTGAGACTGCCAAAATGTCCGTGGAAGAGCCCAACAGAGAGGGAGGTAGATGGGGAGAGACACCAACCTAAAACATGGAAATGACCCGGTTGGAAAGCAGGTGCTGAGATGTTTTCTAGTCGATGATTCCGCAATTCCAAGTGCATGTGAGTGAGTTGGGCTAGGGCAGGGCAAGAGGTGATGATTCTCAGCATGACCATTCACATGTCTCTGAAGCAGCCTCCGGCAAACAGCATGCCTTGCTGAGACCCGTTGTTCGCGTGTTCCAAGGACTCCCAGATGAAAGTGCCCATTCTCTCCCACATGTCAACCGTTGCTCTGATCCCAGCCCGTTTGGATGAGTTTGAGGTCACCCCCTTCCATGCAGTGAATTCCGTCCTTTCTCCGAGGCGATGTTTGCCAGGATGTGATGATGTGTGTGGCAAAGGCGGGCGCGGTGCAGCTGGTAAGAGGATGGATGGTCTAATGCCCAGGGCTGCGGTGCAGCTGGGACTTTTGCAAAGAAAATCGAACTGAATGCCGGTTGTTCGACTTTCTTTCACCAATCAGCTGGCAGACCAGGCTCTTTGAGAGCTGCTGTGGTGCGCTATTCCTATGAATGTATAGCCCCAAAAAGTGGTGGTATAAGGCGTGGCCATCCAAGCACCCCGACTGCGATTCCTGATTGATCCTTGCCACAGAAATCTCACTGCCCAATTCCCTCTCACAGCTCTCGAGCTATGCTGGGGGCTTTCACAACTGGTTCTTCGGGACCATCGTCCAGTCCCTGATGGCCCCAGCTCAAGGCTTCCTGGACAAGCGCAGGATGTGTATCTGATTACTTTAATCAGTGGGTTTGGCCTCCATGCTGACTGCGCAGGTAGGAGACACCCGCCGATGGAGAGAGGACCGTCGCTAAGCTGAGCAATGTTTGCCACGATGTGCTTCGTGGGATTTGTGGCGGGTTCTGTTGAAAGTGGAGAGGTTCAACTAGCTGCAGTGGATGCCAATGCTGAAGTTGGCGTGTTGGTAGAGTTGCGCTTCGAACCGAAGGTTGACGGCCGGGGGGTTGGGTTTAAACTGAGGCTTCGGGATGATGTGGCCACAGACGCCAACACTCTAGAGAACAAGCAAGAAATGCTTCACCTGGCAGTCCTTCACCGCAACCAAAGCTGGTTTTGAGCACTGGGTGCAAAGAGGTTTCCCCCTTCAACAAGGAAGTTCCGTGCCCTTCAGAAGTTCCATGGACGGACTCGGCGCTGGTGCCTAGGCTTCGAGAAGGTGAGGCTCCTGCAGAACGCGGCGCGGAACCAAGGGCGTGTGGAGCTGATGCGGCTTGGTGGAAGCAGATCGCGGGAACGATGGCCAGTTCGTTCGGCCAGGTGCGGGGAATGACTATGAGGTCGGTGTCGGTTTGTTGTTCAAAGTGTTGTCAATTCTCTGAGGGTAGTTGCGAGGTTTGGGTCTTTTGGTTCTGGAGCTTGCCATGTTTCTTCAGAAAAATCATTTGGCCGGCGGAATTTCGCTAAGTGGGCTCTAGCATTCAGCTGTGATGAGAAGATCACTTGCGTTTTTTTCAAGAAAGATCTTGAATCCTTAAAGTAACATGTCTTGGCATTCCGGGCCACCTCAGAAAAAAAATACTCGCACATCCCACGCCAAGGCCTTTCTGATCCTAAGTGCCTCACCTGAATCACCCTCCGCATACACCATTTGCATCACACGGCCGCACGAGGAAGGAGTTATCCAGTGGCCGCTTTGTGGCGGTGAAGCGGATGCCGATCAGCTGGACGGGCTACAACCACAAGGACCCCGCCGTTCTTCGGTGCCATGAGGGCGTCGTGAACCGCGTGGTGGTTCGTCCGAAAAAGACAGTGGCCGGTTGCCGCAGGGAAGCAAAGTCGCTCACCAAAAGGAGGTGTGCCCCCCTGCTTGGAGGCTTTCACACTGGGCCTGCGAACGTGCAGGCTTCGGACATCTACTCAATATTATACTGAACCATCTTCAGTGTGTGAATGTGTCATGCCTCAATCTCTTTGGGCCCTGCCCGCCTCCATCTCCTCCATCTCTCGCCTCGTCCAAGTCCGAGCCGCGCGCAGCTCGCTGCGCTGAGAGGACTTCGTGAAGCGCCACGAACATGAACTGGAGATGCCATGGGTCGATGTGGCCATTGCAGCTGGGCAGATGGAGCAAATGGATCGCCAATGCAAGGGAGGCCTCATGAGGATGGCAAGGGCGCAACTTCCTAAGAACCGGACATGTCGGGTGTTTTCTGGCATTTTTCTAGGCTCAGGAGGCTCAGTTTGAGGAATTGGATTTGGAAGTCCATCGATCAATTCGTTGAGCATTGTTGAACCATTTCGGATTTGGTTGGTGATGTGCTCAGATCTGTCGGTGCACTGTGCCGGGAACCCGTAGCCTGCCTTTGAGGTCAAGTACCTCAGTATGCAGCGTGTACAGTTCGTATGCCTCTTGGCTGAAGCATTCCGGAATGCTGTTGGGGGGGGGGTAGGGCCACAAGTCATTGGGCACTCAGAATGGCTTTGTCGCAGTCAGTCGGGGTGCACGAAGGAACGTTTGCCTCTCCTGGGGTCGCTAGGTTTAGGTGGGAAGCCAGAGACCTGCGGGGTCGCTCATGCGAAACGGCTGCTTGCGGGTGCAAGGCCCACTCTTCTTTCCTCGCAAAGGCGACTGGTTGACCAACAAGAAATCGAATCCCTCACTGCAATGACCTCGTGGCACATTCCAAGTGCTCTCCATACTGTAGAATCAGCTGAGGAACAAGTCTACTTGTTTCATATTTCATCGTGTCTAAAACAATCTAAAAGTGCTGTTTCCCATGGTGGTTGGTGAAGGTTCGCCCCCAAAAAGGCTTCGTCCACCGGGCTTTTGGGAAGGTCTTTCCGGTCCACCGATCTCCGTTCGTGCCGCGGTGCCGCGGGACGGCGCGGCGCGCAGGTGACCCAATTGGCACCTTCAGGGATGAGAGTGACTTGGCTCAGGAGATGACCTGTGGCCCGGGGCGAAAATGGCCCGTCCTGTTGCTACAAGGGAAGTGAGATGCAGCATTGACTTCTATGCCTCAGTACTGGTAAATGGTATTTTGTGGTATGTTGGCAATTAATTGCTTGAGAAGCTCCGGGGCGAGATGATTTAGGACTTGGCAGTCCCAGCTTTGGGGCTGCCAAAGCTGCTGCAAAGTCCTTTCATTTCGAGTCGTGTGGTCATGTTCCGCTTGAAGACTACCATTGAAACCTTGAGCCCCGAAAATGAACAGAAACTCGTATAGTTTTTACATTCACAAAGCTTCCTAGAACTGACTCCCATGCAGGGACATATCGAAATCAAAGGATCACCAAGTGATATGGGTGGGAAGGAGAACTATTTGGAACACCATTTGAGATTAGAAAGGTATTCCTATTTGGCACAATTTGCCATCATTTCTGGCACACTTTGTTCATCAACTGTCCCACTTCTTCCTCTAGCTGTGTGATTTGTGTAGCGCCGGGGACAGCGTGTAGAGGATCCTTCCAACGCTGACGCGAGGTGAGACCTTCTTCGTGTCAACGTGTGCCGACAAAGGCGATTTGCTGCTCAGCACGAGAGAGAGAGAGAGATGCCTGGTGAAAGCATGGAGAATGGTGAAAGCAAGGAGCATCAAACTTTATATATAAGAAACACTATAAGAAACATATTTTTGTGTCTAAATCAGTTTTGCCATGATCTGGTAGCGGATCTTGACAAGAGGATGAACCAGGGTTTGATTGGGTTTCAGTCAGTAAGAAGCCACAACCAATGATCCTTTCGATATAGGTTTCTGTGGCAGTTGGTTGTAAAAACAATGTATCGTTTTCCCTGCGATGTTCATTTTGCAAACTCTTTTGCACTTGCATTTTTCCAAGAACTTTCTTTGGGGCGTTGTAAATTGTGGGTCCAGATATGAGCCACTGCCAACAACATCCTCTTGTCAACACCCGTATGCTGGCCAACTAGCAGATAAAGGCAGCAAGGTCTTGCTCAGGGGTGCCTTGTCCTCCTCAACCCTGCTGCCAATCCTGAATGATCCATGTTTTTCGTGCGTCAAGATGTTGATAAACGTTAGTGCCCACCTCAAACAATCATGGAAGCTGAGCATTTTCCCCCTTGTAGAGGACTCGAGGACCAGACTGGTCTTCCTTTCAGGGTCCAAACTGTTCCACGTAACGATTCTTTCAGAGAGTGTAGTCCCAAGAACACAACGGTGAACACGTGGTGACCTCTCAGCTGGGGCTCCACACGTCGAAGTCCCCAAGGTTTGAGTGGAGCCAGACCGGCCCATTGCCTGGCTTGGAGCGTGAGCGCCTTGACAGCTGGTGGGAGGAAGGAAAGGAAGGCTGCTCTTTCCATGGTTGGAGCGAGAAGGGTTACCGGCTTGAGGTGGATCGAACTCGCCAGGATCAACAGGGCCTTCAGAGCCTTCAGGGAGGGGGAAGTCATCAGAAGCCCTCGCTGCATAGAGGTGGTGGAAGTCATTGTGTCATCCACAGAGTGGTGACTTTGACTTGAAAGGAGTTCCAATTGCAGGACATGTCCCATAGGTCGCCATAGGTGTCCAGGTGTTGTTCGCCAATGCCTGTTGCTGCAGCCCTGCGCAATCAATGCAATGTTAGTCCCTTTTGCTTTCAATCTCGTTTCTATGCACAATTTGTTGCTTCACCCCGAGCTTGTAAACGTGTGTGAATCTGAAGACTGCAAGTATTGTGTTTGATTTGGCCCTTGGCATGCCAACGACACCCCAAAGTCTTTTTGCTTTCAACTGAACTGACTCGATGAAGCAGCGAAGACGAGTTCACTCAGTGAAGACGACGTAAGTTCTTGGGTTTTTTCCTCGAGCGCATCGACGCCTCCGCGGCGCATCGCCTCGATCGATCCGAGGAACTTCCTCAGACCGTTGGTCCGACAGCGGCTTGGACGATCTGCGAGCTCGACCGCTGTGGTTTGCGCGAGCGCTCGGTAGTCCAAGGGTCTAGCGCTTGGTGCTTTGCGGGCACAATACTTATAGACAGCGAGGCATCGGCATGTGCCTAGTCAATCAATCCTAGTCAATCCTAGAATGGAGGCCCATCGGCTCCATGGGTATTTGAAGGGGGATATCCTAATTAATGTAGACTCTTGACTCAGTTGATTAGTGTTTCCCTCCACGAACCCCTGGTCAAATTATTAATCCCTAGTTTGTAAGCACCACACAATGTAGCCGGAAGAGTGGCTGTTGTTGAGCTAACACAGAGCGGACACCCATCAGAAGAACATAACTTTTCCAATCCCCTTTTTGAGAGAACATGTTTGCTTCGAGGAAGTGCGCAAGCCAGGGTTGATAGTTCTATCACACGTCAAACTTTTCAGCGGTTTTGACAAGAAGTGGAAACCCTTTTGAAGTAAAACAATGCGCCTGATGTGTTGGTGGTTTCTTGTTGGAGTTCTGGTAGTCACATGTAGTAATGCCAAATCAAGCGATGGTCCAGATAAACCATTCATGGCTCAACCTGAAGCATGGCCGGCCGCGTTGAAGCTGAGAGCCTAGTTCAACCATGGCTCAACCCATCAACTTTAATCAATTTGTAAAATCCAGCGTACCTATCCTAAACTAACAGACCCATCAGCCCACTGATGAACCAATCTGGCTTTAACGTACCCTGCCCACCCGGGGCGGGACGGTTGGTCTCCGAACCTGGCGACGGGCGCAGGTTGTGCGACGCGATACGGTGCTTGCACAGCTTGGACATCGCCCACTGCGACCTCTCTTTGGAGCCCCACGGTGACAACCGCGTGGCGTTGGGGGGAAGCCGCCGAGCCGAGCCGAGCAGAGGAGACACGGACGTGGCGCGACAGGAAGTGACGCATGACGGTCCCCCCTTTCTGGCCGACGAGGCTCGGGTGGTCCCGAAAGAAGGAAGAGAAAATGTCAATGTTGTTGAGTTGAATTTGGACACGGCTAGGGCAACGACGCAGATTTGGACATGGTTCGGAGACTTTTTGCAGATGGTGACTTGCTGGACAACTCCACTATTTTCTCACTGGATGAGCAGGAATTACAATGCCCAAGTGAACTGGCAGGTACTTGGTTCAATGGATCAACCTGTAAGTCACCTGATTCAGCCCAGAACCACTCCCATGGCACTCCCCATGAACATGACCCCCAAGGGCCCCCAATGATGTATGTAATTCCTCCAGTCCCATGTGTTTGGAGCCCTACACCGCTCGCTACGAACTGAACGGGTGCGGTGTAGGTCAAACACTACACCTCTCACTTCAGAAGAATTCATCCCCCCACACTTCTGCAGGTGTCTTCAATGAAAGCAGAACATGAGAGGTCTGTGAAAACGGATGACATGCCTCGAAGGAGTTTGTGTCTAGACTCTAGATTATAGGACCCTACTCCCATAAGCAGAGTATATGGTCTATATATATATATAGATGGCTGAGGTGCTTAGCGGGGTGCCCTGAACTGACAATTCCACAACAGAGCACCCTTACCTGGCCGCATCACTTGGATCAACATTCACTTGGATTGTTAGCCAATCGCTTTAGAGTGGAGCGCCCAAGGGTTCACACCTGAGAGGCTTTCCTGCCGCCCAGACATGTGGAGTGTCCAAAGGGGACTGAGGAGGTCAGGCTCATTCTTTGGCACCAAGACTTCCTGACCGTTTGGTCATTTTGAAGGGGCCTGTGAGTGGACAATTTCACGCAAAGTGGCGAATCGCAGACCGACGCAGACAGCCCACCCGCCTGTCTCAAACGAGATATTCTAGCAGCGTCAAGAAAACGAACCCAAAGCAAGGAGTTTAAGATTGAGGTTCATGTGGGCAACAGCTCTTCGATTTACATCTATTCCAAAATGCGACAACAGGGTGGACAGGGTGCACAGGGTGGACTCACTGAACGTTCCGTGTCTTTCTGGACAGCTGGATGTTTTTGGAGCGTCCCTCGAGTGGTTTTGACAAGTGTTTGTCGTGTAGAGGCTCCCTTCAAATCCTTTGAACAAAGAACACAAGATCACTATGTGTAAAGCAATCAAGGGCCCTCGAGTTTACTTGCACACTCTAAACTGAGGAACATCCTCTTGATGACCACGGGAGATGGTTCGCTGCAAGTCAAGTTGATCGATTTCGGTATGGCCGCGGTGAAGCAATCAACTTTGGTGCCTCGGTGAAAGCCGAACAGCCACGAGCAGATACGAGCAGAGATGGAGCCCCATGGGTTTCAACCATGCTCCGTCTAGGCCACACAAATGCAAATAGGTGTAAGGCCACATTACATCATTCTCACCCTTCGACAACCCCGTTCATAAACCCTTGTGAAGGCAGCCGTTGCCAGTCACAGTACTGGAAGTAAAGCATGCTTGGCGCATGGTGAAGTTAGCTCCACCTATTTGCTCGAGCTTTGGCTGCTCGTGAGCCACGGACCAAGTAGATGACCCTTTTGGCGCGTAGATGTCATGAGGGCGAGCACCATGGAGCGACACTCCACCTCACCAAGATACAGTCCAGTTGATTCACAAAAAGTGAATCAACTGGGTCCCTGGAATCAGCTAGACCTCTTCATCAATGGCTAGATGGCTAGACCTCTTCAGCTTGCTCTACCGCTTCCTTGCTCAATCAGGGGCAGAACCCAGCGATTTTTCGTAGAAGACTCCGTTTGAATGAAGGTGTATCCGCTGAAGAGCTTCACTGTGCTGCGCTGACCCCCCGCGTCGTTGTCCAAAAAACTCAGGTGGGTGCTCGCGGGAAGCCCTCGTACCAAGCACCGGAGATGCATGTGGAAGCCTATGCATCTTGGTTGATCTGGACTTCGACCTGTGGTGTTCCTGACGCCCTCTGATGGGCAAAGTCAAGAGAGTTCTCATTGCAAGGCCAAATGGCTCGTCAGCAAGTTCAGTGGTCTCGATCGCGTTGGCGGCGGACGCTCAGGATCCCATGGTGTCGGATGCCTTTGCATTGGGCGTGGTGATCTTTGGGATGGTGGCACAGGACTACCCATGGCTTTCCACCAAGCCGGGGGAGCTCAGGAGGATTCGGAGAACCGAGTCACAGGTTGTGGGCTGGTTGGGGGGTGAATGGTTGGGGACTAACTATGATAGTCTGAAACATGTCTTGATTCAAAGAAACCGGCTTGGAGGCTGGCTTTTTTGCTTTGGTCACAGGGTTTGAAGCTGTAGCTGGTGACAGGTCATGCAGATGAGAGATGTCTTTACCCTGGTGCATCAAAGCCCAAAGAACTGGAATTCGAGGTTTGAACCCTTTCCCTTCCTTTCAACTGCTGTGCCTCCAAGGCCGGGCGGGTGCAAATGCTTCCAGTTCGCCAGCAAGCAAGGCCTCCGTGCCTACTTGCAGAAGAGGAAGGCTCGCCACTCGGTTGGAAGACAGACCAGACCCGCAGGTGGGAGGGTTGTCCCGAAGCACCGCAACGCGAAAAGGCCCCAAAGGCCCGAAGTCTTGGGAAGGCCCGGGCGTCAGACTGGAAGTTGAGTGGCGGGAAAACGCACCAAAGTGTGCACTGACTGGTTTGGACTCTGGACAGGTTCATGTCACCTTGCTGGACGATTGACGAAGCGCCAGCCTTGCCGGTCAGCAACCGAAAGGTGAAAGATGTTGAGTCATGTTGGTTTTCGGCACATGGGCACAGTGCAGATGACGGAGATTGGATGGGGTACAAGCATGGCCGGGATTGATGGACTAAAGCATACTAAACCCAAAGATAGACCCAACTGAGGTTGGGTGGATCGTGTCCCATATAATTAGTCCAGCTGGTGCTGGTTGAGTTGCTGAACATGTCCTTTTGCTGATGCTTTTGTTCACCCAACCTCCTGAGATGAAATGGATGATACATCCACCGACCAGAGCCAATCCAACCCGACCAAACCACACAGTATATGAAACTCACTCACTGCATATGTTATGTCGAGGGAAGACCACTGGGAAATGCCATCCAAAGTGCCAAGACATGTTGAAGGAAGGTTGCGGGAGCCCCATCCTCAATACACATGCTGCTTCCAAAAACGATGCAGTGAGGAAACTGCAATGGTGCGCGCCTAGCTGAAGTCTTCAGCGTGCCTGGGCAGAAGTTTAGCTTGGGCAGCCAGTGACAAGGCAAAGGAGTAGGGAAGCCAGTGGTTTGACTTGTAGCTGCGTTTGACTTGCTGAAATGGGAACCCATCCAGCAGAGAACATATGTTGGAATTCCCCATCATTTGGTGGGTGCTCAAGGGCCTAAGGGTGTTCATCTGCGTTGTGAAGGTGTAAAAATATACATGGTATGAATTGATATGACATGATGTCTTGTTGCAGCCTGAAAGCCCAAAGGTGTCCCTCATTCGAAGTGTCCGACCAAAAGGATTGGTATTTCCATGTCCGACCTGTGGATGACCAACTTCCACCTGACCCGCCCACGGCGGCAATTGGTTCCGGTCGGATCTGGAGCGGGCTGGGTCGACCAGCTGGTGACCGGCGTCGAGGTCCGCCTTGACGCAGAAAAGGATGGACCTCACCTGTGCCCTTGACTCCAAAAAGGTTTGTGGTGGACTGTCCTTGTCTCCACATTTCGAGTCCGTCCAAGTGTACAAAAAGTTGTTCTACCACCCTTAACGTAGCTCAAGCCCTTGCTCACTCTCCTCCCCAAAAACACCGTTCGCCTCGCGTTGGAAGGTTCTTCCACCTCTCCCGAGGCATCGATGGTGGACTTCTTGGAGTCCTTGTTGCAGTTCCAGCCCCAGGACCGGACCAGGCGGGCCCGTGGCCCGTTCCACCCATGAAGCAGGGGTTGGTGACTGGTGAATACATGGTGCGACGTCTTTAGAGGTTGAAAAGGGGGTGTCTGGGGTTGAGGTCCAAAACGATGGCAGTCGGGGGGTTCTCATCCAAGAAGCGCCAGGTGTCCCGAGATTCATGTAGGGGCGATGTTCTTACGAGTTGACGAACGTCTCCGGGTGCAAGATACGGGGGTGTTTTCAGCATCTCAGAGGATCATGTTCGGAAAGGATCATGTATAGTATAGGTGCAATTCACGTGTGTTTCCACAACATGATCAATCGTGAACATGAACATGAACTACATGATGTAATTAGTTCAGCGGCCCATCCTTCAGCAAAGACGCCCATCATGCAGCTCCCAAGCCCACCGGCTCTCGGTGAAGTGCTAGGCTACTTGGCGGACGTTTTCCATGGCTGGCTACTCCCCTAGAGCCCGTGCGCACGCGTGAGCTCTAAGTGAAGACGTCCACAGAGAAGGAAGCTGTTGTCGAGGGATCAAGGTAATTAAGTCAGACCAACCCCACAGCTATCAACTCTTCTAAGCTAAACCGTGTCCAAGCCAAGAGTTAAGTTGGGAGCCATAGAAGCGATTTTGGATTGATTGGTGGACTCAGCTTGTTCCGAGCTTCGTGCTCCTTCTGCCTCGCTTCCAAGAAAGCTTTGGCAAGCTTAAGCCTGGGCAATGCATCAGGCCGTGCTCTTAAAATTCTCGTGCACGCCCCGCATGGTGTGGGGGTTGCGCCCTTTTCGCGGCCTCGCTTGGTGCCGTTTGGTTCCGGGAAGAGGTGCCGAGAGGCGTGAAGACGTGCGCCAAAGAAATGAAAAACAAATGAAGCACGCAAGTGATACACCACAGTGGCACAAGTTGCGGTTTCAGGTGCCCAGTAGCATCGGAGGATCACTTACCGGTTGTGAGTCGTTGGTTTTCAGCTTGTAGAAGCCAACCCCCCAGTTGAAGGGACATCAATGAGTCTCAGTGCATGTTCATCACAGGTTGAAAGAGCTCCGTTGGTGAGAAAACCATGTTTTGCACTAGTTGGGCCAGAATCTCAGAAGGAGAAGAATCAACTGGGATGTGTTGAATGATGTTGAAGCCCTACATGTTCTACATGTTCACTTATTCGATGAATTCAAATCAACACACCATCGCATCCCTCGCATGTTCTTATGTGGCCTTCTTCCCGCCCACGGCGACACGTGGCTGCACACTTGCAACATGTGCGCACGCGTCACTGATTTCGACCGGCGCGTCAGTTTGCAGGAACGTTTACGTTTTGTTTACCTTGCAGGGCAGGCAGTGGAACCGGTTCTTGCTCGTAAGTCTATACCTGGATCCCCTTTCGCTCGGTGATTGACCTGCGGAGTCTCAGGTGGTGCCTCTTTTCGGATCCCCCAAGCTCTTGGGGGTCTCTTTCGAGACCCCACGTAGTGCCAATGGCTACCTTGAGTTCACTTACGTATGCTCCAGGATCGAATTCGTGAAAGATATCACTTCGTGGGTAGTCAAGGTCATAGAACTTCATATAGATTATATACTGCTCACTTTGCTTCGTGCATGCTTTCAGTAGCACTGTGAGCTGCAGCAATTCCACCGGTCAGATGAGCATCCCATAGCATTCCTTCATTGAAGGTTGGCTCTTGGCTTACACTACGTTAGATGTTTGGTTATGTAGAATGGCATTAACAGCTCCCCCAAAACGCCCAAGATGGCAGAGACTGTAGTGACCTAGAACACTGATCTGTGAGCTTGCAGAATGGGGAAGCTTTCCGCGTGAAACCACATGGTACCTTCCCTTCCTTCGTTAAGCGCAAATCGACATTCGATGGCTATATTATAGATTAGTTATGAGTTACGCATTGTCCGGGTTGTATAGTCCGGTGGTTATATAAAAACACAGTGCTGTGGTTAATTATACAATATTGTCCGGGCATCTCTGTTTCAATTCCGGGTCGTTCCCTGTACGGAAAAATGCGATCAAAGTATCTCACGAGGTCTTGCCACAAGCGACACGAGGTCTGAGTGAAAGGGTCAAATTCGCTCAACAAATCATACAAATCCGACATGGTTTGACATCCAATTATGACATCTATAGAATCCAATGAATTCCTGAGTTCCAATCCCTTAGAAAGCCTAATCAATTCAATTTACGGTATACGTCTATTCTTTTCCCAACGAACCCGTGCTCCTTTGGCACCGGCTCCACTCCGCCCGCTTCGTCACCCGCGGCGCTTCGTCACCCGTGCGGCCGCGCCGGTGCCCCTTTCGCAGCATCGGTCGCGGCGGTCGGTCGCGGCGTGGCGTGGCGGTCGTGGGAAGTTTTCGCTCCTCACGGCGTCCTTTGAGATGGAGGTGTCGAAGTGGAATCGGCCAGCTGTCGGTCCAAAGACTTTGCTTTGTTTGGAAAACGTGGCTGAAACATGGGGAGGTGGGATGAGGTGGGTCAGATTTGGGCACTTTGGGGAAGAGGGTAGGGCTCACCAGTGGAAAGGAAACACCGGTGCAAGTTTGGAAAAACAACATGAAACAATAGATGTGTTCAAATCGCCGCCCCTTAAAACATTCTTCAAGGTGTTTGATCTTTATCACGAAAGCTAGCGAAGCTAGCTGGAGTTACTCTTGCGATAGCAAGGTTTCTTTCGACCGGGTGCAAATCCTAACCCCTGATTTTTCAGGTCTCCCCACCTCCCCTCTCCCCACCTCCCCTCTCCTCCTCCTTGTCTTCCTCCCATCTTCCCTCC